CAGAATAATTTTTTTTACAAGAAATATCTCCCTGCTTTTATTTTCCTAATTGAAATTGTACACATATTGATGAGAGACCAATGTTCAAGGTTGCAGGTTGAAAGCATTCATAGTTTTCTACATTTTAGCTGTAAAGTTGGTTTATCTGGAAGCAAGAGCTGCTGATAACGCTCAGGGACACTGGTTTCGAGAAGCTTTTCTACTACTGCTTTCTCTCTCGGAAGTGAATTCTTCCAATTTAGGCCAAAAATTGTGCAGTTGATGCACAGCAAAGTATTCCCCAAAATTCTATTTACACAGGCAGACATAAAAACAAGTAAATGAGACTCCTTAGGACCTAAAGCTGTAACTTTCATTTTATTTATCTTTACTGAATAAAGATCATAAATTTTAAACTTCACGTGATATTCAACTCATTTAAAAAGTACAGCCAAGATTAAATTAACTCTTCTGGGTAAAATGACTACAAATTTTGCATTTATCTTATTTTACTATAGCATGGCTATATGCCAAAGCTAATACACCGCATATCAGCACAGACTGATTACCGAAGGTTATGCAAAGGACAAAAGAAATGCTTTTTACTCCCTACTCATTCTAGTCTCAATTTTGGCACTTGCATTTTTCAGCTTAAAAAAAATTACTGAAATTCTTATCTTCAACAGTATTCCACCAATGGCAGCACTAAATGCTTCATGCTGTTATTAACTACAAATAATTTCATCGGCTTTATATCCCAGAACTTGTTATATAGCTACCAAAATTGCTAATTTTCTTTTGTTTTTTAAATTTTTTATTTGAAACAATACAAACAGCATCCAGTACTGTGATGTTTAAGAGTACAGAATACATGTGCAGCACCACTGGAGTTCCAACTGACTGAAAGCTTTTCTCATTTAAGGTTGGGTTTCTCGGGTTTTTTGGAACACGCATCAAAAATAGTTTAAAACTTTTTCCTGGACACATCTTTTAAATAAATTACTGCCAAAATATTAAATAAAAATGCTGCCATTATTGAACAAAGACTAAGCAATAAGTAATTATTCTGAGAACAGCTGGAACACAACTCTCCCTAACACCAGAAGGGCAGGTAAAGAACAGAACCAAGAAGTATAACTAAAAGTACATGCATTTTTTCTTGAGATTTCAGTGGCCTGTAAACATTTCCCCCATCCTCTACCCTACCGGCAGAAAATATTGGTGTGAACCTTGTGGGAAGCTTTTACATTGCTACTGGCTTGCATTTTGTGATAAAAGTTTCTTGTGATCTCAAACTGCAACATGAATTCTGCATTGTCATCTCACACAATTATTTTACTGAATGGCTGTTTAGACACACATTTTGAAAAAATTTCTATTGGTGGAACAAGAATTTTCAAGTCACACTTTATTTTGATGTGTGCATGTAATTTGATGGTGGCCTACTACCCGCAGTTTTCAAGGGGACAACACAGAAGCACAGTGAAAAACTAACATCCTACACTCTTTACTAAATCTGTGTCGTTAATTACATCAGCTCTGTATTCAATGAGATTTAAATACGTACATGTACAAATCTCATGTGCCTAACTTTAGAAAATAAATGAGAAGTTATTTTGGTGATAAAATGCACACTGAAAACTGCTCCCAAAAATGAGTTTGAACAGTTTTTGCAAATATGTCCAATCATAATTCAGGGTTTGTAATAACCTGGTATTAAAACTGAAAGGAGGTGAAAGGTAAAGTGTATTATTTAAAATGTCAGTATTATATATAAAGTCAATCTTTCAAATTTACTATGGAAAAAGTTGATATCTGCAGGCTGAGGGAAAGGTTTTAATTATTTAACACTTCATACAGTAATTATATACTTTCTGTACATTTTCAACTGAGTTTCCTCAGCTCTATTTTTCACCTGCTCTTCTATTCATAATGCAAGTTTTCTGTTTCCGGCTGTTCTGAGAAAAACTATTTATTGTTTATGATTTCTTTAGCATTTGCTTTTAATGCTTCAGATTCCTGAAGATGCTACATCAAATCTTCTAAAGCAAATCCATTCTATTCACTTGTTCTACACTACTTAACACCTTTTTGGAATATTTCTGTGTGGTTTTTTTAGAAGACAGTTGCACAAGCTTGGGCTTTTTCTGGGAAAAGTCTTGAAAAGAAACGCTCTTCATTCAAGGCAGGAGGTTTGTTGGCTTTTTCAAGAAAAAATATGATTTGCTTAAAGTCACACAAAACAGGTTTAAATCAGTTCAGCAGCGGCAAATGAGCAACAACACTGTGGTCAGAAAACAAAATACACAATTACATCAACACTGGCTTCTATCATTGTAGGAGAAAAAAGGGTTACAGAAAACTACCATTAAAGACTGTCCACACAGACAAAAATCACAGTAAGTTTAATGATACACATAAAGGCTCAAAGTCACAAGTTTCACAAGTTACTATGAATCCACTGAGCTGCAGTAACTATTGAGGTTGATGCTCAGAACCATTGGCAAGAAGAGGTGATTTATTACAGTTCCAAAACTTCCCTAGTAGGCTGACTTAGAACAGGCTGATCAGATAACTCTAGTAACTTAATCAGAGACGTTTCAGTGGATCTGTAAAAATAAAATGTAATTAACACAGGGCATCATACATTTTTGCATAAAATTACATCTGTTTAAGAAGTAACTAAACTTAACATACCAGTATATCATTTTTATCAATAATATAAATAATAATGCCAGTCCATTGATAGACTACTGGTATAGTCAGAGACTGCAATGAGTTGCACAAACATTTTAGTTAAACACTGGCTATTTAAAAACACTGAACTTAACCAGAAAAAGGACATCTTTTTGTGTCAGGCAACTTGCATATGAGAAGTTAGCACTAATTACAGTAAATTAAATGATCCTGAACCAAAAAGCCACTTAAATTATATAAAAGCTTCCTTTGTTAAACTTTTTTCCCCGTTGAAGATATGTTAATTAATAGAAGAATTCAGAGCCTTGAAATCTTGCTCACTTGAGGGATATGTCTACTATTGAGAAACTTACTAATTTTACAGTTCACTTACTGAACTTTTATTTATCTTTCCTGTTTACAACTCCTTTTCCAATTTGCTAAACTACATTACTAAATCAGTAGTTTACTAAACACAGGAAAAAGTAATTAGAGCATCATACAATTAGCAACATAGAGGAAAAAAACTCTACAAATGCCCTTCAGTCTCTCATCAAAAGACAACAGAACACTGTGCAAGAAAATAGAAAGTGTCATCTTACAGCTGGTATTTCTAAAATGAAAGCAATTACAACAATAGACTTACCACAGCTGTAATTTCAGGAAGTGAGTACTACCTTCCACACATATCTTACTTTTAGGCAACATTTGTCATTCACGTATCCTAAACAAACCCATGTAATTTGTAACCGTTTTTTCCCCTTTACAGAGAGAGCAACAGGAATTAGGGTGAGGCAAGCTGAGGAAGGTCGTTTACTAGGCCAGAGACAGCAATACAGCACAAGCTTGCAGAGTCCCACAAAGTGCCTCCTTCACAGTTTTAAACACAGTTTTATAAAAGATACTACTAAATACATTATAGCCTCTGTTTTGCATTTGTGCTTGTGGAAGTCTGAACATTAGAAAAAGAGCATTGCAAAAATGCATTTGCCAGATACAGCTAATAAAATCAAGGCAAATCGGACTACCTGCCTAAGCAACTGCTAAAAGAAGAACATTCTGTACAGTACGTTCAAGTTCTTGATCTCGTTTCATTTCAATAACTCTGAAAGACACACCATGGGCATTTTTTATACCTCTAAACTTCATGAGTAGAATTTTTACCCCATAAAGTTCAATGTTTGGACATTTTAACTCTTTTTAGCTATGCTAAGTCCAGGTTATTAGGACAGTTAAATGAACTTCTTCCATTTTGTACATTCTTTCTGGGTTGTTCCATTACCAGTGACAAAAAAATGTAAGTTATACTGGACCAAAACAATAAAACAGAAGAGCTAGCATCCGGATGGAAAACCGTAAATATTCAAGGAAAAGCAGAGCAGTTGCTGGTGAAATAAGACAGGGGCCACTGCCACAAAACCTGGTGATCTTTTCTCCTGCCCCAGTCATAATAAATCACCACCCACTCAGAGCGGCACACAGTGAAAGTGATCCATTCTCCCAGAGCAGTTTCTGCAGCCCCTATTTAAACCTCCCCTTCGGAGCAGGTTTGAATGAATAACTCAGCTGGAAATACCTGTCAAACAGCAGGATGGTTCATCCTACTGCACCTACAGCAACCCCATCCGAACGAGCAAAGCCAGACGCTACCTCGTCCACAGAGCTGGCACCACACCGCAACCCCATTTTACGGAGGGAAAGAGAACCCGACCGGCAACACGCGGCTTGGAGCAGGATCTCCCTGTCCCAGGCCCCCGTGCCCAGGAATCACAGCGCCGTAACCCCCGGAACCCCGGGAACACGGAGCTGTCGGTCACGGTCTTCACGGTGCCACCGTGACCGTCACCCTGGCCGCCCACCCCCCACGGGGTGGCACACACTGCCACGGCGCCCGGCGGAGCTGGGGCCCCTCGCACCCCACCGAAGGGCAGAAAAGTCCCTTCGCCCTCCCCTCGCCTTCCCGGGGAGCGGCGGCACCGCCGCCAGACCCCCCCCGAGGCCCCACTCCCCACGCCCTCGCCCCGCCCGCCGCCGCCGGGGCCCGGCCTCACCTCTCGCAGGCCCCCGGGTCTCGCCTCCATCCCGGCGCCAGGCTGGCCCTTCCCCGCCTCCATCTGCCCTCCCAGGCCCCGCTACCCGGAGCTCGCCCCCCTCAACCTCTGCCCCGGCGGTTGCTCCGCCCGCACCGCGCTCTGCAACGCACCGCGCGCGCACGCACACGCCCGGCGGAACGGTTCCTGCCGGCCCCAGCATACCCCAGCCTGCCCCCACCGCCGCCCGGCCCCCGCCCGGTCCCGACGCTGCCCCGAGGACTCCGCCACAGACGCCTCACCTGCATCGACGCCATGATGGATCCTCCTCCCCCTTCTCCCCCCCCTCCCTCTGCGCCGCCGCCGGACCGGCCCCGCCCCGCGCGCTCATGGTCACGTGGCCGCGCCCACCCGTCGGGCGGCCGCGCGTGCGCGGGGCGAGGGCGGTGCGGGCGGGCCCGAACAGCGAGACCGGGGCGGGCGGGCGGGCGGAGTCCCTGAGGTCCCGGTTGCGATCCCGGTCTCGCTCCCGCCGCCGCCCTTGCCGGCTGCGGTGGAGGCGCCTCGCTGTCTCATTGCGCACGCCGGGAGGCTCCCCCCGGTGCTGCCCATCCCCTGGCTCGCCCTGCGGCCAGGGCGGGAGCTGCGCCCAGGGCTGTCCATCATCGTCACCCGCGGGGACGGGATGGAGCTGACCCCCCGCCCATCCTCTGTTTGTGGAGGTATTTAGAGCTGAGCCCAAAGTCTGTAAGGGATTTAGTTAATGCGGGCTGTGCCCCTTCTGCCCTTCTCTGGGCTTCCCTCACGCCTGGTGTGCCCCGGTGGGGGAATGACAGAATCATGGAATGGTTCGGGTTGGAAGGGACCCTACAGATAATTTAGTTCCAACCCTCCTGCAGGAACACCTTCCACTCGATCACGTTGCTCAAAGCCCCGTCCAGCCTGGCTTTGAACACTGCCAGGGTTGGGGCATCCACGACCTCCCTGCACAACCTGTTCCAGAGTCTCACCACCTTCACAGTAATGAATTTCTTCCTAATATCCAGCCTAAATTTCCCCTCTTTGAATTTGTACCCATTACTCCATGTCCTATCCCTACAGGTCGGATCGTGGATCCGCAGCAGGCGCTGCTGCGCGGGCTCAGGGCATTGGCAGAGGGAGAAGGGCTGGACGGCGGTGCTGGAGGACTCTTCCCCTGGGGGGTTACTCCTGTGGGCTCCCCTCTGTGCTGCTCTGCCACAGCTCTTTATATAATCTGATTTTCCTGCACTGGTGGTGTACGTGCAGGGCTATATTTTAAGTGGGAGCATTTTTGTATTCCACGTTTTCCTCTCCTGGACTGGAATAACCTCTGTCCTTTGCACCACCAGGTAGGTGATTTTGCGGTATCTGTGTAGGTGAAAATAAACAAGCAGCACTCACTAGAATGATTGTGTGCAATCAAATTAAACAACTTGCGGAAACACACTTCATAAAGCTGTTATTCCTGCTGTAGTATTTCAGATTTAACGGATCCTCAAGATAAACCTACAAAATGTTTATCCAAAGACAAACCTATGAAATCCATAATCCCAGGGGTTATGTAAACCCAAGGATTTAACAGAGAAACTGATTTTATAGGTCATTATAATCTCCATCTCTTACTGCACATTCCAAAAACATCAGACTCCCTTTCTCTGTCCCTTTACACCCCTGCTTTCTGATGATGCTAAAAAATACTTGTGTCACCTCTGCTCCATTGGTAGCACATGATTTTTCCTTCAGAGATGGCCTGATATGCAAACAGTTAAATTACTGAACAATTGTTAACAGTTTGTATTTACCTTTGAAATCTGCTTCTTTAATTTTAGACCTTGAGAAGGGTTCTGCATCTAAAAGCCTGCCTATCTTCTTTAACCAAAATATATAGTGTCATGCAAGTACTACCTCTGTGTACAAGTTTTACCTTCTGGTATGTTTTTATGCATCCTCAACTTTGACAACAGCTAACTGGAGGAAAACAAAACAAAAAAACCCCAGCACAACATGATATCAGCTTCCAACTTTATCCAGCATCAACAATGTTGTTAAAGCAAGCATACAAACTTTTGGGGGTTTGCTTAAAGGGAAGAACAGAAGGCAGCAGGAGTGTCCTTACACTGTGAGGCAGGCGCAGAAGGGAACAAACCTCTTGGCTTTGCAGGAATTTGCTGTTAACAGAATCGTGTTGATTTTTGAGTAGGAAAGATTAGCCTACCAAAAGTAAGGATGGGAAAAGTATTGTCGTGTAAGCTGCAACCTCTACCTTTTGCCCTCTAAATTCAATTCTCATTCACAAACTGTGGGCTCCTGATGCCATGCAACCTAACATTGCTTTACTGTGTTTTCCCTGGAAGTCAGTATTTATTACTGTATGATTTTGCAAGATCATTTGTGTTGCAGAGGGTTTATTGTATTTAGTAGACACATAACACCGGGTAAAGGTTTCTTTTTCTTGCAGTTCTTCAGAACTAACTTAGGCCGTCACAGCATGAAGTGGAACATTGCTGTTTCTGTTTTACTAGTTGTTGTTTTGCATGATCCAAGCATATGTTTATCCTAAAATACTTCTCTTAATGCCATATGCCACAAAGATTGCAAGAACATCAAGTTTAAGCAATGGACATGTGTTCGGCTGTAAACATGGACATATTGACTATCTGTGCTGATGTAAAAACACAGCGAGATAAAACTGATTTCAAACCATTATATTCAGTTTCTTAAGCCTGTTCCAAAAAACCCAGTTGAAGGTCAGAAGATAGAAAGCAGCATAAGCTTATGAATGCCAGCACACTTCATAGAGGGCAAGCTTGGTTTTGCATGGAAAGATCAGCGCACTGTATTCAGTACAAATATGACTTCTACTCTGTAATAAAGAAAAATTATCTCTGGATGAAAAGCTACCTTTGCAAAAAATAAATTATAGCTTTTAACTGCCCTTATGTCCAGGAAGTCTTTTTTACCTATCACACAGAGATTTTCAATGTTAAAAACAGAGCACCTACCACATTTTGGACTATAGCATTGTTTACTGGCATAATTTCATCTATGCTGCAAATCCCACTCCTGAGGATAGCAGGCATGAAAAGCAAGGGGCAGTTTGCCCTTCATATATAAACAGAGCATGAATTCAGTACTACCTGCTCAAGCTTAACTGGGTATGTAAGAAACTAAAGCATTACTCTGCAGCTGAAACTTGTGACCAGAATCCCTCATCCCTGAATTCACTTTGAGTATAGTTTATTCTTACAGGACTACCAAAAGTGTCTTTTATCACTGTTGTCACATCTTTGTTTTTTAAAGTGTCATGCAATGCCTAATATATATGTGCAACATTTTTAGCTCCATGTCATCATGGGAATAGGGGCAGCTGGAAAATGATCCCCGTGCTTTATTGGTTTTCCTCCCCTTCCCTATGTCTTTGTAGCCTGGCTTGCAGAGAGTTGTTTTAGTAAGTGTTTTTGTACAGTACATAATGCTATAGGGAGTAGGCAATCAGTCCCATAGCACAGTAAGAAAACAAACACTATTATCAGACTCCCAGAAAAAAAACTATATGAATATCAGTATTTTCTTCCTTAAGTTATCCAGTAATCCCATTAAGGAAAGGCCCAAAATCCCAAAGAGGGTAAATTTCTCAAAGAGTTGGTTATATTATAATTTGGTGTTCATTTCAGTGTTGACCTTTACTTATGCAAAATGTAGATGAAAACACTTTTGCAGTTAACCCCTCCGAACCTGTTGCAGCTGTAGAGATGGGCAGCACAAGTAATTTGGTCTTTATAAAAGAAAGCTTTAGTATTTAGATAATGCAGTCTGATCCTGCACCAGTCAATCTAAGTTTCGCTAGAGACTTCAAGAATTGGAGTCCTGGGTCCCAAATATTCAAAACTTCAGGGGTAAGAGGAATTCAGTCTGCTATCTTCATTAATTTAGAAGCTATCTTGCACTGATCTGATCAAATACATGATTATGACTCATTTATTGAAAATATATGGTGCAAATAATGAAAATTCTACCTCCTACTGAAATTGTTTCTGTAAATATTCTTGATCTAAAAATCCACTTTTCTTCAGAATTTGCATAACCTTAGGCTTACAGGAAAAATGCAGCTAATGTTCAAACACAGATGTTCAAACATGCTTAAACATTGCTAGATAATTTTCTGATATATCAAGTCAGCTTGATAAAGGTCAAATATGTTTCTTGATTAGGGTACCTATAATTTTATATTTTACTCCCTATGTTATCCATAATGTTTTCAAACATTACCAAACTTTTTTTTCCCTCTGCTCTCACTTTTTTTTCTGTATCATTTTTCTACACACTGAACTGTCACTGCCTGCTTCTTTATAATTTCTGCCTCTATAATAACATCGGAGCTTGATGTCTTTTGTGTGCATCCACTGTACTTCTTTAGCTTTCCGTCTTGTCTCCTTTTTAGACAGAAGTCAACTGTACATTCTTGTTAACCTCCTCTTATTACTCAAGTGGCATAGCAACCATAATCTGCAGAGCCAGGAGGCCGCAGCTCATGAGCATGGGGGACTCCCTGCCCCTCAGAGGAATTGCACCAACTGCTTCTTCCACTCCTGCCTGCCAGTTTAAGGAAGGCACTGAGTTTAAAATTTGTGGAAATAAGATCTGATAAACAAGCCTGATGCACCAGCAAAAACCATCAACCAAAGAATCAAACCAAGACAAAATTATATCAATAATATAAAAGAAATATATTGCACACATAGCTAAAATTGAAAATACCCTAAATTTGCAAGATGCCTTAGAGATGTTGAGATTTTATTTTGTTTTATTCCTTAATGATAATACATTTTTCATCAATGGCATATCCCATTTTCATCCTATTTCTTAATAGTAACAAGCACATTATCATTTCAGTCCCAGGACTTTTAAGTGGATGAAAAAAGTCTAAGAAAAAGAAAAGTTTCACCTTATTTCTGATCTGCTACAAGTGCAGTGTCTGCAGAAGACTGTTCTTAGATGTCACATGCTTCCATTCCTTCTCTTGTATAGCATTTGACAATTTTGCAACCACTGGTTAATCTGTGGCTTTCAATTTATCCACAGGGAGACTAAATTACCAAAACAATTTTCCATCAGATCAGAAAAAGAATTTGTTCTATTATGTGGACACAGTTGTAATTACTGCAGGGGAAGGAGGAGGACATGGGGCTGGGGAAAGGAGTGGAATTATGTGTTTTAGTAATATGCAGAGTCACAGGATGAGTCAGGTAGGAAGGGACCACAGTGGGTCATCTGGTCCAACCTCCCTGCTTAAGCAGGGTCACAGAATTACAGAATATGCTGAGTTGGAAGGGACCCACAGAGATCATCAAGTCCAACTGTCAGCTCTGCACAGGACCATCCTTAAGAGTCATACCATGTGCCTGAGAGTATCATCCTAATGCTTCTTGAACTCTGTCAGACTTGGTGCTGTGACCACTTCCCTGGGGACCCTGTTCTGGTGCCCAACCACCCTCTGGGTGAAGAACTTTTTTCTAATATCCAACCTAAACCTCCCCTGACATGACTTCAGGCCACTCCCTCAGGTCCTGTTGCTGGTCACCACACAGAAGAGATCAGTGCTTGCCCCTCCTCTTCCCCTCACAAGGAAGTTGTAGACCTCAATGAGGTCTCCCCTCAGTCTCCTCTTCTCCAGGCTGAACAGACCAAGTGACCTCAGCTGCTCCTCATACGGCTTCCCCTCAAGGTCCTTCACCATCTTCGTTGCCCTCCCCTGGACACGCTCTAACAGCTTAATATCTTTCTTACATTGTGGTACCCAAAACTGCCACAATATTCAAGGTGAGGCCGCCCCAGTGCAGAGCAGAGTGGGACGATCCCCTCCCCCAACCGTCTGGCGATGCTTTGTCTGATGCACCCCAGGACCATGGTTGGCCCTCCTGGCTGCCAGGGCACTGCTGACTCATCCCAGAGCACATTGCACAGAATTGCATCCAGATGGTTCTTGAATACCTCCACTGAGGGAGACTCCACAACCTCTCTGGGCAATCTGCTCCAGTGCACAGTCACTCACATAGTAAAGAAGTTCTTCCTCATGCTCAAGTGGAACTTCCTGTGCATCAGTTTCTGCCCATTGCCTCTTGTCCTATTGCTTGGCACCGTATGCTGTAATTAACAATTTGTACTAATTGTCAAGCCCTCTTTTTTTGGCATCAGTAGACCTCTAACTCTTTTAAGTGCTGTAAAGATAAATACCTATAAAGACAAAAGCTATAAAAAATTAATGAGGATTGTGTAGGACCTATAGTCAATTAAGTAGATGAATGCAGTAAAAAGTGCAAAGTTACGTAATTATTAAAAGTTCTTCCACATCGAAAGCATCCACAGCCCATGTGAGCAGGTTGGTTACTGTGTCTGTCAAATCTAAGTGTTAAGAAGCTGCTCAGTAACAATAAAATATCACTATCAATTAGTAATTTTATTTTACCTTTAAAGAATGTGAACTGGAGGCTTCTCAGGTGATCCCAAGAGTTACACAAATACATAGTTCATGTTCTTATGAGGAACGCAAACAAGCAGCTCTGAATTCATAAGCAGTGAAGATACTGATACAGAATTTTCAAAATTAAGTAGCTGTTTGGTCTTTCTAGTCTAGAAGCAAAACTGCAGGAGAAGAGGCATCTCTGGTAACCTGTATAGATGTGCGATAAACTATCACAGTTCCCAAGGGCTGAAAAGCAATTCCTCCAGCTGTGCACATCAGGCTGCACACTACCCTCACTGAACCCTGCACTACTTACTGAGCATGCAGAATTTCATTTTGCAGATCTGTACACCAAGATGACACCGGTCCAGCCTGTTCGTTTGTTTATTTAATGTCCCTCGGGAAAGACAAGAAATCATATGGGATATGATTACGATGAAACAGCTATGATATGAAAGCAGAATGGGTGGGCAGTTACTTGACTACTTCAACTACATATTTTCAGACGGTTTTCTCCTTAAGTCATAGTTGTTTATTACAAGTCAAATATTTTTCATTATTTAAGTACTTTATGACAACTATGAAAGCAGTTTAAATGTTAAATATTGATATATCGCTTTCATGTTTCATTTGTAGCAAACTACAAATAATTCTGACTCAAATGGAGTGTCACTTCTGGAAAAGATTATATGTCAACTTAGCATGGTAATGCAGGAAGTTTTCCCCTGTATAAAAAAGAAAATAAATCCTTTGTGCCAAATGCATTTAAATTCTAGATATTTTTCAGGCTTGGTGATACTAATCAAAGCTGAAAACTTTTTACATAAGAGTGAATTAATCTGCATAGCAGGAATGTCATTCTTTTACTAGGCAGAGTAACAAGAATATGTAGCAACATAAGACAATATGTATTACTTACAGTTTTGTATAGTGGTGATTTTGGAGATAAACATTTTCTATTAGTGTAAATAGGATACCAACAGTATTTTTTTATGGGAACAAAAGCCCTAGTTATTAATCCTCACCTGAAAAGTTTTAAATTTGAATTAGCATTAATGGAATTAACAGCATTTGTTTTTAACTTCAAAATAACTTCTGTTTGATCAAAGAAATTAAAAACAAATAAATAAAAAGTAGTATTAATCCATGCCTGTATCCAAAAAAAACTGATCTCACAAAACTATTCTGGAAACTAGTAACTTTAGCACAGTAATGTAGATTTTAATTTATCTAAAAGCTCTCAAGTTGTTACTTTCACCGAACTAAAAGGCAATACATATTTCAGGGGTAATTTTAACTTAATTTTCCAATTCTCTCCTCAACAAGCTATAAAACATTACATGATGAACATCTTGAAAACTGCCCAAGTATGTGAGTTCAATAAGATGAGACGCTGAAGTACTCCATTTGTCAGAGAAAAATCATGACCTTGTATCTGTGATCTCCTCCCATGTAGCGTGGGAGGAAAATCCTGTGTTCTGTAAACACAAAACAGTAACATGGCAATGACAGGAAGATATATATTTTTTCTTTTTTTTTTTTTTTAATCTCAGTGACCTTTCTCCCATAGAAGATTACACAAACTGCATTTTGGATGTAACATACACAAAGCTTGATTTCTTGACACATAACAGGTCTTAAAATTCAAATTGATAAACTCACCATTTCTTTCTCTGTGCCCCCTTAGTGATGACACTCAAGCTTTACAGGTGGCTGGTAATAATCACAAAATCTACTATGTGCTCTTTTTCAGCTCTTCCAATCGCTGTGCCACACACTGAGTTCACAGGATTGGTGTCTTCACATAAAATTGCCATCTAACAAGATACATTAAAGAAAAAAACAACAACTCCAATCCAGCTGATAATTTGTCAAAATCCTTCAAAGTTGAACTTTTTCCATGGGAAAAAACTACCTAATACCTTTTTTTGCTAATTGCAAAGCTTTATTCTGTCTTTAAAAACCATCATCCTAGTTTGCCTTCCAAATCCACGTGATCTTTTAACGAGTTCCTACTGTTTTTTCTTACTCTGTTGTTGAAATCAACAGCCTCCACCCTTAGTTTTTAGCTAGGAAAACTGCTACTTCTCATTAGCTCCTACACACTAACATTGTGGTTTTGTTGACTCTGCAGTAACTGTTACTCCCTTAAATTATACTGCAACATTTGAGACCTGACAAAATAAAAAGAGGGACACAAAACATGGATTGAAAAGTTAACTTTCCCGCCCTGCTAATTTCCTTGTCCACTTTATCTATCACATAAACCAATAGATTTAGGGAAGTGTTGGGAACACCCTTTCAACGGGAAGAGTAAAAACAAGAAAGGGTGAACAGCCATTGCTGCAATTTAGGTGTGTGAAATACAGTATACAATGATAAAACACAGGCAGAAGCAACCAGTTTTCCAAACTTATTACTGTTAATCAAGAAATGCCTTTCAGATATCATGTCCAGCACAGCTGTTGAATATAACGGCACAGTGAATCCAGATGGTGAATCCTCCTTTTTTCAACTTCAAAACCAAAAAGGAATTTCATGTCTTGTGGAGTTCTGATCATTCTGGATGCACAGACTACACTGGAGACCATCAGAGACTTCTTCAGCAGCTTGTAAACATTCAAATGATTACAAACCATAACAGTTAGTAAAGAATCTGGAAGTTTCTATCACTCAATCAACAGTAAGGTTTAGATTTTGAACCATCAGATACAGGACTAGCTTACTAAGTAAAAGGAGTATTATGGGACGCTTGAAGTCTTCAAAATATCCTCAGCAAGATACCCTTGAAGTATCCTTGACAGTATCTTCTTCAAGCCTGTTCAAGAATACTATGCCTTTTTAGTACTTAGTTGTTTCTGAGAACTGTGGATATTTGTAACTCAGAGCAGTACTAAGATATCCAAACACTTCAAATGTATGAAACTCTTTAGAACTATGAAAAAAACCCCACCACCTTTAATTTTATACATGCAGTTTCACAACCTATTACCTAAATACTAATTACACTGCCATATACTATAGCCATGAAAATTATGATTCTGCACGTGAACACCTCCTCTGAGAAGTCATAAATCAAAAGAAACACAGGTTTAAAAATTTTCAACTTTGAAATTTATTTAGAACTCAAGGGTTAAGCGTGGTAAGTTTCCAATTGTCTGATAATAGCATACCCATGGAACTATCACGGAAATTGCACTAATTCCCTCTGCCCCCCTCCCACTTAGAAATCTGCTTAGTTTCAACAGCCGGTGGTTTTGCAAATAGTGCGCTCTGGGACACTACTGCATTTCCTGAGTGTTCAAAGCTATTGTATGATACATTAAGCTGAAAGAAAACCAACAAAATTATTATTCAGAGCTAAACCAGCTATTTTACCTTACTGCTGAAGTACAGAATCATAAAATGCAATGTATTTTAACAGGAAATTGTTTTGGAATGCTTAAAAAGGGGAAAAAAAGAAAAAAAAAAGAAAAAACACCATTTAAAAAAAATGACATACTTTTTGCTTTAATTTCAAACTATATAATTTTAGGCCTCAGATCATTAATCTTAAAACTATTAAAAATGGCCAGTGAACTTAAGACTCCTTCAGATTGATATGTAGTTGTGACTAAAATATCCATGTCGGTATTCCTTGACCTTTTAGGGTATTCCTAGCAGCTCTAACAAAAGCAGCATAGCAGGGTATCTCTGGTTTATCTTTCTAGTGCTCTTGAAAATGAGTTACTAACAGCACTGACCACGGTGCTTACACATAGGATTCCAGAGAATTACCCTGCAATGCACTTCAGCTTTATCGTGCAAAACCAATCTGGTCACAGACATCCCCACATTAAACACACTAAATTGTGCCAAAGTATGTGATGTGAATAAATGTCAGCTAATCTATCAACACATAGATAAATGTCAGCTTGTCTATCAAGCATTATTTAAGCCCAGAATAAAATTTCGTTTGTCAGAACTGAACTCCTCCATGGGCAGACAGCATAGTCTCTGTAAATGACTTAGTTTTCAACCAGAAAAATCTCCTCAAAGTTGTATTTATGTTGACAAACAGGTTTAGAGGAGAGTTTCAGTCCTCTAAATTAGCCATGAGTTAATACATCAAGAAAGAGGTCCCACCATCAGTCGGCGGGATTTTTCCATGATAGACCACAACCACTTCTTGATCAAAACAAAGCTGAAGCACAGGTGGCTGATGGAAACAAACTACATTGTTCTTGCATCATTTCTCATGATGCATTAGATTTATTCTCATTTACACACGGTTTTGGCAGAAGCATTCTTCAGGCTGCAGCTGAACAAAAAACAACTTCTTGTCTCAAGTTGTTTGGTTTTTCCTCTTTATGGAAACTTGCTTTGAACAAAGAACTCATAATACAAGCAACTGCCAGCAGGAACTACCAAGAGATGATGTGTTCCACTCTAGTATTACATCAGTGGCTTGCCAATCCTTTTCCCCTAAAATATTTGTAAAAACATTGGAAAGACCTATGAAATTTATAAAACAGCTCCTTAAACATCTGCTTAATGCCCTTTCCTTCAAATATAAAAGACCTCCAACATTTTAGGGTCTTTTTCTGTGGATACAAGGGAGAGGTCAAGGAAGAGGTAAAAGGTAGGATAACTGATACCTTTTCAGCTGCTATGTTACAAAATTTAAATGACTACTTCTCTAAAGATTAAATACAGACTTTACATAAACAATCAGAACAATGGAAATAAATCATAACTGAGGTCATATAAAATCCTTATCGGGTCAAGTGACAGTATATTAAGAATAACCTTATATGTTATACAGAAGATAATATACATAGATTTTAACAGTTAGTTTTCCCCTTAAAAGTCACTGTCAGTAGGATCACAGTCTTACTGCACAGATAAGTGACCGGAATATTTGAAATTACTAACAGGGTAAATTTATGTTATAAAAGAAAAATGTATCAAGTACACCTTTACATATGTCTATACTATGACTTAAATTAAAAGCCTTCTTAAACATTCTCCTACATACTCCACTTTCACCCTAACTGGAATATCACTGCCAGTATACAAACCCTAGGGAGGGCACTTCTAATCTAGTTAGTGTAACTATTCTAAAGGACAGCCATCTTAAAAAGGAGATTAAGTTCAGATGTTTAGAAACTTTAAAAACAAGAGAAAGTTAGAAACCCTAAACAGCGACTCGTATGTAACTATAATTACCTTTTAGAGAATATGAGACTTAACTCCAGTATTCGCTATGCTCATTGTATTAAAAGAAAGTTCTACCACACCTAAAGGATAAGGCATAGCCATCTACTAATTGGCATATTTGTTTATTTGTGAAAAGGTCCTTATTTGTGTAAGCAGCAAAACAAACTCCAACTGAATGATTGCTATATGCAAAAGAACTGAAGGCAACTGCCTCTGCAGTGAACTTTATAGTTCTCAACAGCACACACGCAACATGCTATCTGAAAAAAGTTACTAACTGAACTACATGTATTAAATACTGAAAAAAGTTTTACATTTTTTTATTATAATTTATTTTATTTAACAATCTAAGAAGTTCGCAGCCATCAGAAGTTCCAGTGCAATTTCAGGTGCAATTGGGAATTCAGGAATCTCCGTAGAGCTGTTAGTATAGCGGACCTTGTAGGTGAAATACATGCATACTTTGGATAGGACATGGGATGGGATCTCTCTAAAATTGACCTCATTTGTTTCATTTTCTGCAAACTGTCCTGTAGAAAGAAAAAAAAAAAAAAACAACACAAAAGAACACCAAAGCAAAAGTCAGAATCTCAATTCACTGCAAAATGAAACACACTAGTACACTAATACAACACATTCTAAATAGACCTGCATAAGTCCCATATTCCAGGGTATTAGATTCTTCGTTGTAAAGCAGAAGGTGCCATATTCAAACCTCTCAAAAATATTAAGATACCCAGCATTACAAAATGTTTATTTTGGCTGTAGCCTATTAACAATATTCTGAACAACTACACCAGAAATTTAGGTTTACTTCTAATATAGCTGATATGTGCTGTAAAACTGTAGTGTGCTCAGTCCTAAAGGTTCTGAAGTTCACAGTAACAACAACAATAAAAAGACATCGAATTTCTAATTGTCTTAACCAAGGGGAAAAAAAAAAAGCTTTATAGATGCACTGTCTGCACATGCACACCTAGCAGTAGTCCCTTCTGTGACTCACTAGCTTTGAATTCCTCAGTTTGGGGCAGATTTGACAAAAGGGCTGAAACCTCGAAGATGCATTAACTTGGTAAGTTGTGAAGACAGGCAGGCAGCAGGGATAGAGAAACTCTAGTTGTACTGGAGGAAAGGTTACATACAGTACGAGTTCATTGCTATTAGATATTAAAGAATTTATCCAAAGCTCAAATCTCAAAACACAAGTACATTAGAAATTAGCTTTCTATAGTGCCTATAACTATGAAACCTGGATGATACAAAGTCATCCTATGGTTCATCCCACAGCCTTTCTACTGTTATCTTTGTTTCTCTTTTCCTCACATCTCTGGACTTTCAATAAGCTGAAAGACAACACAAAAAATACTAACATGAACTCCATATTTCTGGAAGACTAGCAGTGTTTGGTTCCCATTATTTCTGTAGGCATCTCCTTCTAACTACAAAGCAGAACTATTTACTAATGTCTACACAGATTTGTGTAGAAGTATCTGCATGCACTGAAGGCAATCTGGCTTGAATTCTAGTACAGGAACAGTTGGAAGCAACAGAAGAAATGTTAGCATATTGGCCATGTCACAGCACTGGAACAGAACACTTAAACATCAGTGAAATTATGACCTACTGAACTAGACAGCAACAGTACTTTCCCTTGTGAATGCATTTATCTTGCTAGTTTTTAGACAAAATATCCTTGAATGCTGAGTCCTTTACGGAGTCAGTTTCTAGCCCTCTAAGCAGGTTACTTTGCCTTTTATTCCTTCGTTGAACAAATTCAGAGCAGGTCTTTTAACTACTCTTCCTCTTGCCTGTCTGGGAGGACAACATGGAGTGGATCAGACACAAAAGACATTTTACATATTTTCAAATGCAACCACTAAAATAACAGCAGAACATTAAGCTGAGAATTTTAATTGCTCAGTTTGTCCAAGTATTACTAAGTAATTTTAAAATGTATTACACAAATAGATCTCTCCAATAATCCTCCTCACCAGAACCTAAAAGAGAACAGAAGAATGACCATATTCAGATCCGAGCTCCACAGAGCCCACTGCCCACCACTCCAGTGGCTAAAGGTGAAGACACAAGATGAGGGTGAAGAAGAGGGAAAGCCTGAGTCAACTTCTCCCTGTTCTCTCCTCCAAACCTTTTGGTCTTCAAAAATTAGTTTAGACACTTCTTAACCCAGACATAGTCTCATATATTCAATAACACACAAGGTCCTTCCCTTCTGTAAGTTTATCTACCCTTGTCTCAAAGGAAAGCTAACTTTCATCATTAGGCTCAGGAATTCCTTGCCATAGGATGCTGTGAACATGTGGCCTAAATCCAACTAGGCAGCTGAGTACCACACAGCCACTTGATCACTTGCCCTAGCTGTGGACAAAGGAAGAGGAAAGGAAGAGTAAAAGCAAGAAAACTGGTGGGTTGAGAGAAAAGAAAGAAAACAAAACAAGTCATGCAAAGGTAATCATCACCTCCCATGGGTAGACTGATGCCCAGCCAGTTCCCAAGCAAAAGGTGGCTAACCTCCTGTAGTGGGTTTCTGTGGCTGGGTTTTGGTAGTGGGGGGGGCTACAGGGGTGGCTTCTGTTAGAAGCTGCCAGAAGCTTCCCCTGTTCCGTGGAGCCAATGCCAGCCGGCTCCAAGATGGACTTCCTGCCGCTGATCAAGGTCGAGCCAATTAGGAGTAATAGTAACGCCTCTGTGGTAACATATTTAAGAAAAGAAGATTGTTGCGCAGAAGAAATTCCACCCAGGGAAGAGCAGAGTGAGAACATGGGAATAACAACGGAGACACCAAGGTCAGTGCAGAAGGAGGGGCAGGAGGTGCTCCAGGCGCCGGAGCTGAGGCCCCCGCAGCCCGTGGTGCAGACCAGGGTGGGGCAGCTGTGCCCCTGCAGCCCATGGAGGAACATCGGGGTGCAGAGACCCACCTGCAGCCCATGGAGGAGCCCATGCTGGAGCAGGTGGATGCATGAAGGAGGCTGTGACCCTGTGGGAGTCCCAGGATGGAGCAGGGTCCTGCCAGAGACCTGCAGCCCATGGAGATGGAAGCCCACGTTGGAGCAGGTTTTCCCTGGTAGGACTTGTGGCCCCTGTGGGGGACCCCCATCGGTACAGCTCATTCATGAAGGACTGCACCCCATGGAGGAGTGACCCACGGGACAGCAGTTTGGGAAGAACTGCTGCCCAAGGGATGCACTCACTCTGGAGAGGACCATCAAGGACTGTCTCCCATGGGAGGGACCCCGCAGGAGCAGGGGAAGGACTCCTCTCCCTGAGCAGTGGCAGAAATCACAACTGACTGCAACCCCCATTCCCTGTCCCCCTGCACCGCTGGGGGGAAGGAGGAGTGGGGGGAAGGTGTTTTTAAGACTGTTTTATTTCTCACTCTTTGGCTTTTATCCTGTTAGTAATAAATATAAAGTACTGTCCACACTTTGATTACCTTCATGGGCAAAACAAGACTCAATCACTGACCTCTCCAAGCTCTTATCTCTACTCATGAATTCTTAGCTGTTTTTTTTCCTCTCTCCTCTGTCCACTTGCAGAGGGAGAGCGAGAGAGCGGCTTCAGTGGGTACCTGGTATCTGGCCAGGGTCAACCCACTACACCTCCCTAATTCCCTCCGCTCTCTTTTTAACTTTGGAGCATGATATTATATGGCATGTAATATCTCTTTCACTAGTTTGGGTCATCTGTTTGGTTGTGTTCCCTCTCAACCTCTTGCACACCTTCCTGTCTGGAAAATCATTGGGTGGGGGTAGAGTGAGAAACAGAGAAGGCCTGGAGTGCATGCAAAACACCTTTCAGCAACAGCTAAAACAGAGGTGTGTTATCAGCACTATTTTGGTCACAAATTAAAGCACAGAACCACGTGACCTGTTATGCAGAAAATTAACTCCATACAGAATACAAGTTGCACTGGAGGTGGCAATAAAAAACTACCAGCTTGTTCGTTTTGAACTTGACAGCTACACATTTCATGTAATACCCTCAAGTTCTCATACCATGAGAAACTAGTAGCAGTGATACTATACGATCACTGACTTTCCAAAAGAAGAGTTCAATTTTAAGTCTGGTAGCACAATACCCCACAGAGGTGGACTGTTCTACTGGAAACAGGAACTAGGCAGGATCTGGAAAAGTTATCATTTATTCCAACTTTCACTCACTGCATGATAAAATATCAAACTGTCCAAAAGTGAAAGCAAAGAATGTGAAGGTACTAAATCTTTTGTACCTACCCGGTCCACTCAACATAGCTTTTATTGTTCCTGATGTCAATGCATGCTCTCTTTTTACGATGAACTCATGGCCATCAGAGGATATTAACTTCACATACATAGCATCTGGGCCCTCACACCCACCATATGTTTTCTCTTCTCCATCTATGATGGAAAAAAAGACAATGGTTTGAGAACACAATATACTGATTCACAACACTAATAATGCAAGTTGCAGTCTCTTCTATGACTACGTTTGCAAAATGAAGAATCCAAATGCAACCAGAAATAAGACAGAAGCATTTTCCATATTTGAGGACTTTGTACAGAATCACTGAACATTCTGAGTTGGAAGGGACCCACAGAGACCACTAAGTCCAACTCTTAAGTGAATGAGGGGATTGAACCCACAACCTTGGCTTTATTAGCGCCATGCTCTAACTGAGTTTATCTCTTCTGAAACAATCAGCAATCTGTTTTAAGGTAAGAATTTTTGCACAAGGTAGAATTTCAACATCTCTTTCATTCCTCCATCACCAAATTCTGTCATGATTTCTAAAATCTATGCACGGATGAAGTTTTCCTTTAGACATTCTCAAGTGAATTGAACATTCTACTGATTCCCACTGTAAGGCTATTGCCATGTTTATCATACTAAAACTTGCTAAAAGTTACCTAAAGACATAGCTGATATTTAAAAACACAGACTGCAAGGAAAAAAGTACTTTCTGAAGCACAGGTGAGAATAAAAGCAGTCAGTATTCCTGTACTGAAGAAATGAAGATTCATCTTCCCTCACTGCCCAACCAGACCCAGAACCACACAGCATTAGTGCACACCCATGTTCTGGTGGAAAACAGGGAAATTACCAAAGCACTAAACCCAAGGAAATTTGGAAATTCTCCCCACAGCAGTTTTGACTGTGCTTTTTCTGTTCCGCTAAATACCCACTCTTTACTTTTCTTATCCAGAAGCCTTTACTCTCTTCCCTTTTTGTTCCTTCATTTATTCTATCCAACCAGCGCTATCTTTAAAAGCTGAATTACTGCTGCCAGTATAGCAAGCAAAACATTCCCCCAATCAAGTTGTTTTGTGAATTTGAAATTAAAATTGAATTACCATTTAGTTATTGCCAATTTTAGTAAAGTACTGCCAGTGCCAAACATGCTAAAATACACTCAGAAAAAGTACAGATAAAATCAGAATCTGTCCAATCACATTTCATTAACCAGTCATTTGTAGAGGTAGACACAACAGTTTCAGACATAGTCATATCACACACAATGTAATTTACCAGAAATCAGTTCTTACTATGATCTCTTGAGCCAGAATTCAACAGGCTGACCTTAGCTAACAAACAAGCAAAGAATTACTTAAAACAGTACACAGTGAAATTTTCTTGTCCACTATCTAAAAGTTTAGTGCGATAAAAGCCTAAAGGTATTCCTATTTTAGCATGTACATTTTTAGGACTATGCATGTTAAGCAAGTGAAATGTTTTGTTAGATGGATGCACTCTGAACAAGTGTTTCCATAAATGAACAGTCACTTGAGAAAATTCTCCCACAAAACATTTGTAGGAAGTTCCACTTACTTTTGAGGCTGCAAGAAAAACAGTGACAAGATCTACATTTAAAGTCTTACAATCCAACTCTTCTACTAATGTGAGAGAGAAAATGCTTCAAATCACAGGAAAGCAGAAAACACTCTAAGACTATGAACTTACCCATTCTCTTCTTATAAAAAAAAAATATTCCTTTTCAACTGCAGATTTTGCAATAGGAGCGTCTGAAAAAACACAAGAGGCAATATTTTGAGTCAGCAGTAGCATTTTAAAGTCACCTTCGTTTATTAGTCTTTATGTTATCATAAACACTCTTCAGAAAAGAATATGATAATACACAGCATGCACTGTTGATGAGCAGTCCATTTTGAAAACGGAAACCTATGAAGTTCACCAATGGAAAATGCAAATCCCTGCACCCTGGTTAAGATTACCCCAGGCACCAGTACTGTCCAGAGGCCGACCTGCTGGAAAACAGCTCTGCAGAAATAGAGCTGGGGGTGCTAGTGGACAAGTTGAACATGAGCCAGCAGTGTGTCCTTGCTGCAAAGGTGGCCAACAGCACCCTGAGCTCTGTTAAGAGCACTGCCAGAAGGTTGAGGCAGGTGATCTTGCCCCTCCACTCAGCACTAGTGGGACACATCTGGAGCGCTGGGTCCAGCACGTGCCAGACTGAACTGAGTCCTGCAAAGGGCCACAAAGATGACTGAGGGATTGAAGCACCTGTCACACAAGGAGAGGCTGAGAGAACTGGGGTTGTTTAGGCTGGAGAAGACAAGGCTCAGGGATCAGTCTAATTGGTATGCACTAAATACCTGGCCTCAAACCTGTTCTTCCCAGGAGACTGACAGTTCCTGATACCACAACCCATGTCACCTAGATAATCTACTTCAGACATTTAATGTAGGTATTCACATGGTAAGTTAACCAGGAGCTTCCATAGCTTATACACTGACATCCAGCTTGCTGCATACGTATTTCTCCATGAAAGCGAATCTAAAGAGTGCAAAACAAATCTAACATGTTCAAACACAACTTACATTTCTTTACCCTGAACTGCATCTCTGCTGTGGAAAAGAAAACTTTGGAAGAGAAATTCCACTCACCCACCTGCTGTCCTAAAACTTCTTTCATGTCAACAGCTGCTCTCTAAACATTAACCAAGTAAAAATCAATGAACTGCTATTGTGTGCCCACAGATTCAGGAAAACAGCACCAGGGAACCTGGGTGGTTTCCCAGCTGATATTCAGGGTTGAGAGCAGCAAAAGAGACCAGAATAGAGACCACTCCCCATATTCCCTCCCTCCTATGTTTCTGGTAATAGTTCAGTAAGATAATGTAAGCAAGCTGAGGAAGCTGCAAGCTTTGGAAGAAGCACTACAGACATCGCTTTGCTATTGCTGATAGCTTCACTTCTCCACAGCACTTTGATACTGATTTGTTCCATTTCCCTTTTTTTATAGCTACAAATATTAAAGAGCCTGAATGTTGCCTCCACCTTTCACAAAAAGGCACTTTGTTATGTCCATCCATGGCTAGGCTTTGTGAACGAAGATTTGGGAAGGGCTCTACCCACGTTTGTTACAAGCACGCTGGTGGCTAAAAAGGCCAATACGAGACAGGCATGTCCTGTTGCAAAAGGCACAGCAGAAAGACTCCTTAGGTGGTATATTCTGCAAGACACGATTCTTTCTGCATTGTCTTTTCTCCTCAAGAGTGATCCTGTGTGCTTTCTCAAAGGCATCAGCAGCATTATAGATGGTGTGTCTCCAGACCTCCCGATTGGAGGCCAGAGTAGACCAGTTATGTTGATCAATATGGCCAAGGCTGAGATGTTGTTTCAGGGAGTCCTTGTATCTTCTCTTTGGGGCTCCTCTCATGCGGCAGCCGGTGGCAAGTTCACCATAAAGCAGGATCTTAGGGAGGCGGTGGTCCTTCATCCTTGAGATGTGCCCTGCCCAATGCAACTGTGTTCTCAGCAACATGGTCTGACTGCTGCTTGTTCTAGAACAGATGTACTGGTCACATAATCTGACCAGTGGATGTTTAGGATTGTATGGAGGCAGCGCTGATGGAAGCGTTCTAGGAGATGCAGGTGGTGGCGGTAGATGACCCATGGTTCGGAACCATACAAGAGAGTAGTTTGTTATGTACACCTAACCAAACTACACACACATAACCAATAGTTTTTAATTGTCTGTGGAGAAATGAGCGAAATTCATCCTTCACTTACATTGCTGCTGTCTTTGGAGTGTTAAATGCCTTCACCATTTTCAGTAATTCCAGGAACTCATGTAAGGAAATTACATTTGGGTGCTGGAACAGTTAGGGCCCAAAACTGAGGGGATCTTTCACCCTATTCCAACAGTTTTTGTAAGTGGGAAATCAAGCATCTTATTGGAGAGTATCTGTTGCTGAGGAACTGAAGAGATACCTTACATTATTACTTCTACTTTGCAGAAGAGGATCACTTCTGTTATCACTTTTTCTAGCCATAAAACCCTTCGCTATATTCCAAAAGAGTAGTGAAACCACTTATGATTTATAAATAATAATAATTAAAAAAACCCCATGGAAGCGATACTATTTTTTGGAAGTGCTGGTGAGGATAAAATGTTCCTTGGTTTACAATACAAGTACTGTTACTAAATACAGGAATAAAGACAGGTTAGTTAGTGGGAATGCAGATATATTAAGAGCTTGCAAGGTCAAAGCGTAACTTGAGGAGGCTTATGCACTGAAAGCGGAGAACTGAAAGGAAATGTCTACACAAAAAAAACATTAGAGCTGTCCCAAAAAGATGCAATGAGCATTTTAATAAATCAAATGAAAAGTGCTATGATTATAGAGGGGAAAAAAATACAGCAGTTAACAAAGAAGGAAAAAAACCTATCAGGCTTGGTGGTCTCAATTCAGTTGTTCTAAAAAGGAAAACAGGATAAAAATATAGCAAGCCTTAGTAAGATTTAGGACACACTGAACTATTCCAATACCTAAAAATTAATCAATCATTTTCCCTGAAAAAAAGATGCAATCTGGACTCTTACATCATATGGGGTTAAATAAATATGATGAGAGGTAATCTTAAAATGAGAAAGAAATTAGCTACAAGACTACGAGCATACAGTATGGTACGGCAAACATGGAACAACTGGGCTAGAAAAGAACTACTAGTTCCTTCAAAAAATATCTTGAACTTTTATTTTAAACAGTGCTGCCAGAAAACAATAGGTAGATTTGGATGAGATGGAAGAGAAAAGCATTGCAACAAAAGGGGAACAAAGCACAACTCACAAGTGACCAGTCTTGAAAAACGACATACTAGAAACTCATGAAATTAAATGTTATGAAATGCAAGATTCCTGTACATAGGGACCAATACAATCTTCTTTCAGGTAGTCAGGGCTTGTTATTTGGGAGTATAGACATTCTGTGGTCAACTATAAACTGCAGCTCTAAGGGACCAAAAGGAAAAAAAAAGGTGGGGAACAAAGAGGAAAATGCACATTGAGGATTTCTTTGCAACAGAGATAGATATGAGCACTGCTGCACAAGAGCAACAACTCGTCTGGAATACCACACACAATTCTGAATTCCTGTTTTCAAGAAAAAGAAGTTCAAATTACAAGAACTACAGGAAGGAGCTACTGATATGACCAAAGAGCTTATTTTATAAAAGAAAAATTAGTCTTCCTTACTCAGCACAGCAAAATAAAACGGGAATGAAGATAAATATAAAAATTCATTAAAAAGATAAGTATCAAATAGGGAGAACTATGCCAACATTGTATCTCAGTTTAAGTCCAACAAATGAACGTAAACAAGAAATATAAAGGATGTAGAAATAATTGTCACTCACAAATTCTCAATTGTGCACATAGTAAAAAGAGTATGGAGGGAAATTTTCTACACAATCTTTTTTACTTGACAACAGCATGGCCTTAAGGTTTAAATAAGAGGTCAGAAACAAGAGAGTCAAAAAACCTTGTATGTTTTTGTCAGAGACTGAAATAGTTAATGATTTATGCATTCTAGGACTGCCAGGAGACTTTTGTAGGCTTTTGCATTATACCTATGATGGGCAGCTGGGTCCATCTCCCCCTCCAGTGCTGCTGAAGGTGTCAAGCCCTGAAAAGGCGAGAAGAGCCATGTTTACCATGCCCTCCACATGAACTCTGCGCTGGCCTGTCTGAGATGTTGGAGGTTCATGGCACAGCCCATTAAAGCCCATCCCCTTGCCAATTCTGAAAGGTGGGAAAAACCCTTCTACCAGGCCCCTCACAGGAACTCTGCGTAGGCCCAGGAGACGTTGGAGGCTCGTGGCATGGCCTGTGACACTATCCATGGATATAACAACTCATAACTTGAGTGTGGGGGCTTCCCTCCTTCACCCCCAACGGATCAAGGTCACCACTTCAACTGAGAGACATGGAAGCTGCAACTACCAAGTTTCATCACTGGACCCCGTGGGCAGTGACTATAGACATCTTTCCACTCTCAGCTTTTCTTTCCCTTACTCTCCCTCTTACCCTTATCCTGTCTTTCCATTCTCTCCCTTATGCATTTTCCCTAAAGGTTATCTTTATGCCATATTGCTATAGATGAAAAATATAGATGATAACACCCAAAATTGTTCTAAAATAAACCCTACATATATGTTTTCAAACACCAATTATTCAGTGTCGTTTCACTCTAATCCACCCCAAGGGATTTATTAATAAGAACCTGGGTTAACCCCCCTCCCCCCCCTTTTCTGGGGCGGGTCGTAACAGTTGTTTTCCAAGAAATTATTTTCTTACAGTGTCTTTTCCAATGTAATGTTTATTGAAAAGCATATCACTACATTTTCCTTCTGTATAACTAAAGCAGCACAAGCAACAGCATTTGCCAAGCCAATATGAAGAAAGAGACTCTGAGATTTCTGAAGATGCCTGGTAACTACCTATATTTTAATTACTTTTCCAAATTTTATAGCTGCCCCTCTCTGACTTCACCAATGAAGCAGTTGGGAAGAGAACAATCCAAGTTTTGAGAACTTGTATTTATTACATATTTTTGACTTGACTATTCCAGACTCCTGGCAAAGAACCTTCAAGAAGCTTATGTGACATTACCAATTAGGTAGATCAGCTCCCTGACTTTAATCTCTAAAAACCATATATATTAGGTAATGCTGTTCAGCTTTGCCTCCTTAAAAAAAAAAAAAGAATTAGCAAAACCTGTGTTTGTTAAGGGAAAGTTTACACAAAAGGCATATGCCACTTTTTTATCTACGAGGGAGAATACAATACAACTAGACTATAACAAAGTGTCACAAAACACAGCAACTAAGCCACACCAGGCAAGTGTTCTTGTTTGCACACTTTAACATCTTCTTACAGCTCTAAAAAAATACCACGGTGTAGTGAGTTTAGTTCGATCTCCTCCCTGCTTCTCTTGACCATCAAACGCACGAACAAAATCGAAGCACGTCCACGACCGTCCCACCTCACTCCCAAAGCTGCGAGCTCATCTCCCAGGCTTTCCCAGAAAATCCAGAATATCATTTCCTCGTACATGCTGTATGTTGATGAGAGTGGAACAGACTGGAAGGACATATGTAGCTGAACACTAATGTAGCTGAACGCATACAACCACTGTACGGCTTCCAGAACCCCACTGCTCTGTTCTGGTCAGTACAAGAAAATTAAATCTATGCAAACATTTCAAGCACTCAGATTCTTTGATCCCACAGGAAATCTCTTTAAAAAAAATCACATTCTGGTTCAAGGAAACTCAAATGGCTTCCAACTCATCAGGTACAGCACATGCACATGGCTTTTGTATTGCTTAGCTGGTGACATTTCTGTACTCTAAACTATCACTTTCAGGAAAATGTGCGGCAAACAACACAAATAAATTCCTTCACAATTCCTATGTTAGTTTAGAAGCCAACTGTTGACAATTTTTTGGGTGTCATTTGGGCATCAATAAGAATTCATCAGTTATCAAAGGCTGCTATGTGTTGCAACAGAAGCCTCCTATTGTTCAATGCTAAATTCTCTCCTATCCTGTACAACAATCTGTTTAAAAACACCGCTCTTCAGTTCAGCATTCACTACTCTCTCTGCATCAAAAAATAACTAATGTAAGTAGGGATCGAAGCATATTCTGAAAAAACATGATGGGTAACTGGCATAGCATCACTTCCAAATCAGCTGATTCACTATTCCATACTCACAGGCACTAAAATTCAAACTTTTGGGGTCACTGGAATGCAACAGGAAGGTAAACTAAAGGTGAATGTTAATTGAGATTGGTGATGTGACAGGATACCATGTATGGAGCATCAAAGATCCCAGTTAAGATTTCTTTTCCTGTCTAAGGAAACTTTCCCTCTCAGTAATTCCCAAGAAAGTTTCAAGAAAAAAAAACCAACCAAACAGGCAGAGGAGCATTAACTGTTTTTTTCCAAACATACAATAAAAGTCCTGTACTGTAAGCTCTTGACAAAGGCTGCTGGCATGCTGCAAAACTTTACAGGGCATGGATTACTGCCCTCTTTTTACAGGCATTAATCAAAAACTACTGTCATGTAAACTACCCCACAGTGAAGATAATTAAATCCCAAACCTTTCTAGGTGCAAAGAGAACTTGTCAAAGCACATAAAAACTCCTTTATTGTAACCTGACAAAACCCGGACTTTTATGACAAAACTTAAAGGTTTCTTGTAATATACTCTGAAAAAAACACAGTAAAACACCTGAAGCTGAGTATCCTTTCAAAAGATACTCATTTACCTCACTGCACCACTGTTAACAGTCTTCATATTAGGACTACATGAAACTATCTAAATCTTTTCATTACCAACCCTGGCACAAAAAAAATTAAATCTCAAATGGCTTTTCTCTGATGCCACAAGAAAAAAACTAAGTGCTGAAGTACTAAAAGTTTCTAAAGATTCTCTTAAAGCTCCCAATGGACATGGCAGCAAAAATTTTATAACTTAAGCACACTAAAAGGCTGATCCCAAGGCATAAGGTACGTGCTACATGTGCAAAGATGGTAGCCAATATACTACAGAAAAACTAATAAAAACTTATTCTCCTTCTAAGTAACTCTTCAGTTAATAAATGTTTATCCTCCCCAAATTTTTTTGGTCCTTATTATAGCAAAAGGAGTAAATTGGAAGCACGTAAGGAATTACTCAGAAATAAGTGCCCAAAGGGGTTCTTATCTTAAAGGTCTCTCGCCTGCCTGTTTATCTGTTTTTCTGGTTTGCTTCCAAATTTCATCAAAGCCAAGTAAACAAGTGGCATATGACTATCTAGGTCTCCCCACAGTGCAAAGTTTAACTTAAATCTACAGTACCAAACGTACTTAATAAATATTTAATAAAAGTTACCTGATGTGAGATTAAATTGGCTGTCAAGGCAAACTGCCAGCATCACCATCACACATTAACACATATATATATGAAGCCAGCAATAACTTACTAATACTCAGGTTCCCTTTTTTTTAAAGCAGAACCTCCCTTTGAGGAACACACAGCACGCAAAAGCTTATTTTTATTGCTACGTGTAGGCGTATCACCCTTTTCCTTGCTTTGCTTACCAAAGAGCCAAAGCACTTTAACCAACACTTCTCACCTTGGCACAACAAACCCTGGAGGCGCAGCCTAAATTCTTTCGGCCTTAGCTTTTCCCGTCTCTAGGGCCTGGCGCAGGAAAAGGGCGAACGTCACTTACGGCAGGAGTTTGGGAGCGATGCTCAAACACAGCACAGCTCCGGGGAGCCCCTTTCCCGGCGGCGCCGGGATTCCAAGGAAAAGGCTCTGGGGGGAGACATGCGCTTTTCGCCACCACCCCGGAGGGGGAACCCCGGCCTGGCACCGCGCCCCGCACGCCGCGACGGCTCTGGGGGCCGCTCCGGCCCCTCCGCCCGCCCCCTCCCGCCTGGAGCGGGGCGAGGCCCGCTGCCCTCCGCGGCGGCTCCCCGAGGGGCTGCCCCGCCCGCAGGGTGTCCCGGCCCTCACCGCTGGTGCCGCTCCCTCCGCGCTCGCAGGGCCGCGCTGTAGGCCCAGCTGCCTCCGAGCGCTTCCGCCCGGGCACGCGCCGCTTCCGGCCCCGCCCCAAACTCCCGGCATGCCGCGCGAGCAGAGCGGTGCATGCTGGGGCGCGTAGTTCCTGGGGGGCAGGGCTAGGCCCGCCATGGTAGGGCTTGGGAGTGCTGTTCGACAGCGGCTGAATGTGAGCCGGCCTGTGCCCAGGCGGCCGGGAATGCCAGTGACATTCTGGCCTGTATCAGGAATAGTGTGTCCACCAGGCCCAGGGCAGTGATGGTCCACTGTACTCAGCATGGGTGAGGCCACACTTCGAGTGCTGTGTCCTGTTCTGGGCCCCTCATTTCACAAAAGACATTGTGTTGCTGGAGCGAGTCCAGAGAAGGGCAACGAAGCTGGTGAAGGGTCTGAAGCACAAGTCTTATGAGGAGCGGCTGAGGTAGTTTAGCCTGGAGAAAAGGAGGCTTGGGGGTGGCCTTGTCTCTCTCTACAACTACCTGAAAGGATGCTGTAGCCAAGTGGGAATTGGTGCCTTCTCCCCAGACACAAGCAATAGGACAATAAGAAACAGCCTCAAGTTGCACCACGGGAGGATTAGATTGGATATTAGGAAAAATTTCTCCAGAGAAAGGGTGATTAGACGTTGGAATGGGCCGTCCAGGGCGGTCTCTGGAAGTGTTTAAAAAGAGACTGGATGTGGCACTTAGTGCCATGGTCTAGTAGGCAGGGCGGTGTTTGGTCATAGGTTCGATTCGATCTCAGAGGTCTTTTCCAACCTGAGTGATCCTGGGATTCCGGCGATGCTGATGCGGGGCCTGCCGGGGTCGCCGCGGAGCCGGGCGGGCCCTTCCTGCGGCCGGAACCAAAGCGCATCGGGGCGGCGGCGCATCGGGGCTGCCGGTGCGGCACCACTACGCGCTGTGCCGGTGCGGCCGCGGCCCCGCCATGTTGCTGCTGCTGCTGCTGCGGAGGGCCGCCCCCGCCGCCGCTGCCCCCGCCGCTTGCCGCCGGGCCTCCACATGGCTCCAGGGCGCCGCGCAACGCGGGCTCCCGGTCGCCTGCCGCCGCCGGGCCGCCCTGCCCGCCGCCGGGCCCCAGCAGGTTGTGTGTAATGTGGGGACGAGGGGAGGAGCGGGGCCCTGGGTTTTGCGGCTTTGTCCTTAACGGAAAGTGCGGGTCTGAGGAGAGAAGGGAGGTGGCATTCGGGACGTACCTGAGATCAGCCCCTCTGTTGTGCTCTGGTGAGACCCACTTGGAGTGCTGCGTCTAGCTCTGGAATCCCCAAAACAGGAAGGACATGGACCTGCTGGAGCCAGTCCTCAGGAGGGGCCACGAAGATGATCAGAGGGATGGAGCACCTCTCCTGTTAGGAAAGACTGGGAGAATTGGGTTTGTACAGGATGAAAAAGAGCAGGTTTAGGGGTGCCCTAATTGCAGCCTTCCAGTACCTGAAGGGAGCCTACAGGAAAGATGGAGAGGGACTTTTTACAAGGACATATAGTGACAGGACAAGGGACCATGAGTTCAAACTGAAAGCCGAGAGGTTTAGATTAGATATTAGGAAGAAATTCTTTTCTGTGGGGATGGTGAGGCACTGGAACAGGTTACCCAGAGAAGTGGATGCCCCATCCGTGGAGGTGTTCAAGACCGGGTTGAATAGAAGTCTGAGCAACTTGGTCTAGTAGAAGGTGTCCCTGCCCATGGCAGGGGGCTTGGAGCTAGATGATCTTTAGGGTCCCTTCCAACCCAAACCATTCCATGATTCCGTGATCAGAGAGCTAGTGAGTGTGGGTGCCGTGAATATCTCCCTGCAAAGCCACGAGTAAGTTGATTGCAGGCTGAGTTTTTGGCATTGGGGTTGCATACATTTAGTGCTAACTTGGAATATTTACACGGAAGATTATTGAAGCAGTTGGGGTTAGTGGGATGCTTTGTAGTGTAACCTAACTTTAATCCCTAGTCTAAGATGCTGGGAACAGGTTCAGGGCAAGGAGAAACCTTGTGTGTGTGTATACATACACGTATACAGACATATATATGTGTATATATAGATAGGTAGATATAAAGTGTAGTACTGATGTCGCTTGGCCATGTACTGCTTTCATCTTCCAGGTTACGTCTTTTCAAGGAGTGGCTGTTCGCAGTCTCAGCACATCCCCCCCTCACGAACACCCAGAACACGGAAGATTAGTTTATAAAGGAAATTTGGCAAAGACAGTGTTAGGTATGTGACTTGAAGTGAGTGCTATGTATTGCCTTTATTTTGTTTGTTTTGACCACGTTTGGTAACTGCCTGTGAAGTAAGAACTTCATAGTTGTGCGTAACAGGTGGTAGTGACTGCATCAGAAACAGAGCCAGCAACCAGCTTTGATAAACCCATCATGAATACTCTGTGAAACGTGAACATATAAACAAATCAGAATGATGACACTGAGACAGTGCTGAGCTTTCAAGAGTTTCTCTGTGAGCTTAAAAAAAAGGGAAGGGAGTTTTCAGTAACTTCATCTGTTCAAGTAATGCCATTGTTATATGATAGCAGACCATATGTAATTGTAGAGAAGATTGTCCTCTTAAGTGTTAACCTTTGTTTTCTTTTTGTTCTGTTTTTATGTAGGTGTGAGGTTTTTCTCTTACTCCACCAGCATATTCAACCTGTTCATGATGCCCTACATCATGCTCAAAAGTGGTATTGGAGTGGAAAGTCTGCTTATGCAAGCTGCCTTTTATGGGGTGATCGGTTTTTTTACGTTTGTAACTCCAGTAACTTTGCATGTCCTTACAAAAGGTTATGTGATCCGACTCTATTACAAAGATGAAAAGGACACCTATACAGCCATTACCTACAATGCCATCTTGGCAGAAAAAGCAACTGTTTTCCATCAGAAAGATGTAAAGATTCCAGACATCACCAAGATGTTTACAACATTTTATGCAAAAACAAAATCAATGCTTGTTAATCCGACACTTTTTCCAAATCCTCAGGACTATAACCATCTCATGGGCTATGACAAATCCCCGATTTTTAAGTTAGAGGAGTTAAAGGAAACTGATGAAAGGAAATAATTTGAAGATAATGAATGTCAGTGTCATTGTTCTTAATGCAGTGCTGTGTATGTAAAAGAATATAAAATTCCATTATACTTTCTTAAGTCAGGTAGCTGGAGTTTTCCAAATGCATTTTGGAATGTATTAAAAAGACCCTTTTTTTTTTAATATTTTGAACAGTGTGACGGTTTCTTCAGAGTTAATGACATAAAATATAGTAAAAAAAGGTGCTTAGATCTGTCTTGCACTTGTTTATTCTTGGCTTGATTTTTATTGTTAGCTCTCCAGAGAACTGTAAAATGCATGAGCTGTGTGGCAGTCTCACCAGCTCCGTGTCAAAGGAAACCATTTGTAAGAAAAATGATCAATAGTCATTACCTATGGAGTATATAGTTAATCTCCTAAGCCTTAAGTATTGTACTTAATCCAAAATCATCAGGCTTTTTTGTCAATGCTGTTGCTGGTGTAAAGGGAGTGGAGATGGCTTTTCCTTCCCTTCGTGAGACCGTGGGAGGAGTCTTTGGAAAGCAGACAGGTATTCTTGCTAATTCCTGCTACAGCCTCCTCCTGGAGGAGAGAAGATAGGGAGAATGGCTGCATCACAGTAATCTCTGAGTACTCACAGCTACTAAATGGTTTCATACAGTGGAGTCCCACTCCGAGCACAGCCTCCTGCTGGAGGAGAGAAGATAGGGAGAATGGCTGCATCACAGTAATCTCTGAGTACTCACAGCTACTAAATGGTTTCATACAGTGGAGTCCCACTCCGAGCAGCCCTGTCCCCAGAGGTTGAGAGCAAGAAGCCTCTCTTTGGTTGGGCTGGGGAAAGCGCCTTGGCATCAGGTTTGCTCTGGGAATATCCCATCAAGAACAGGTGCTGTGTTTGAACTGAGTCAAAGAAAATTCTGGCAGCTAGTGGTTAAATTGGATTCTGCCAGCATTTATGTAAGGTGGGGAAGCAAAACAGAGTATCCTGTAGAATACTGTTTAGATCTTGTGCCTTTAAAAAACATACCTTTTGATTTTCAGTACTGCAAAGAAAGCCACCTCTAGTTCAACTGAACAGAGGATCAGACCTTTTTGTGTGACTAGACTAGTTCTGCATGCCTGAGATGCAGAAGCTGGATTTAAATATTTTAGCCCAAGGCACATAAACTGACAGATACTTGTTTTCAAATAATGAAGGGCCTAAATATTTTGAGACTTAAAAATTACTGAATAAAAAAACCCCTAACAATTCAAATTAATCCTTTTGTGTTAGTGGTGCCTTTTGTAATAAGTAAATCTGATGTTTGCTACTAATTAAGGTATCCTGATACTACAAACAAAGAGAAAGGTATTAGAGTTACCATTCAAGATGTTCCCTAAGTTCTAGCTGAAAATATATATTTAAAAGTCTAAATGTCTTCCAATGCTATTATTTCAATTTCATGTTGTAGGATGACATTAAACCACTGGTTTTGAATGTTGTTTTTCTGACTGTTGAAATTGCCCTCAATGTACTCGCTAAGTGATAAAAAAGCAAATCATCCCATCCCAATATTTTTGAGGCAGTTCTTTGTGTTGACACAGCTATAATTGTAAAAGCCTGATTGAGCCCCATTAAGCCAATATCACTTCACAGGTAGCAATAATATAAAAATCAGATTTTCATAAATTACACAGAACCTGTGAGGTCAGTAACAAGCAATTCTGATGACCTGATTGTACTACTTATGGAAATGATGCTTTGGATCTAATTAAAAGTACTCTTTCCATGTCTGATGCATTCACTCGCTTTTGGTGCTTGCATTGAAAGATGAAGTCAACTTTATCTTTTATTGCCAAATACAGGGAGAACAGGAAACAGCGTTTGCAGAAGAAGGTAAAAGAAAGGCCCCAAAATTGTATTTATGTGCCCCTTAGGCAATATCTTCTGACTGAAGAAAGTTTTAATTGTTAAATTTGAGATTTGTACAATTCAGATTTAAGCAGCCATTCCACTGGCTAGGTTTCTCAAAAAAGTATTATTTCTTCTGCTTGTTTTCTGGCAGTAAAATGCAAGTTAAGCTAGTAGGTGGCTTTCTGACACACAGATGATTAAATAATATTAAAAAGTCCAGAATTCTGCCAGAAGATAAATTATACACTCTCAGAAAAATACTTTATACTTCCTAAGTGCAACTTGAAAATAATAGAATAGTACTTTTATGTTAAGAAAAGAGAAGACCAAGCTTACTGAAGATGCACAATATTCTATCTGCTTCTACCTTGTTTGCTGCTACACTTAGGGTGTGTACTCAGAATTATAGAATCATTTATGTTGGAAAAGACCTTTAAAATTATCAACTCCAACTATTAACCCAGCACAGCCAATTCCACAACTAAACCATGTCCCTAAGTCCCACATCTACATGGCTTAATATGTCCAGGGATGGTGACTCAACCTTGTCCAATGCTTGACAATCCTTTCAGTGCAGAAAGTTTTCATATTGCCTAATCCAAACCTGCCCTGGTGCACCTTCAGGTTGTTTGCCCTTGTCCTGACACTTACGACTTGGGAGAAGGGACCAATCTTCACCTGCCTGCAACCTCATCTCAGGCAGTTGTAGAGGGCTATAAGGTCCCCCCTGAGCCTCCTTTTCTCCAGACTTAACAATCCCAGCTCCCTCAGCCTCCCCCAGTGCTCCAGACTGTTCACCAGCTTTTTGGCCTTTGTTGCGGAAGTATTACTGTCTACTAGCATTTTCATCCCTGGAAGTCACTGATATTTCTTTGGGTGTAGGTAACTTGTGTACAATATGGAAGAAACAGTTTATAAGATCTAGAGAATGTGCTCATCGTGGAGATATTTGAAGGAAATACTGATGGAAGCCCAGTTTTCTGAAATACCTGATTTACAAACTGTCTTATTTGCAAGACAACACCTATGAGGAACGCTGCCAGCTCCTGCAGCCTTTCCAGGACCAACCAATTACTTGTCTATAGCAGCTTGGTCTTGCATCTTGCCCTGGTACCAGTTTCACTTAATTGGGTGTAAAGAGCAAGAACGTGTGAAATAACTCAAACCTCTTTCCTAGACACATGTTTCCTATTACCTTCTAGCCTTAAAATCTTCCACAAAAGTGGAATCATGACAGATTTTTTTTTTCCCCTGGGAAGATAGTCACGATATATGCAAATTTTTCTTTTCAGTCTTTGACTACATGTTATTTTCTTGCTGCTAGCCCTCTCCCTTTTTCTTAAGTTTTTGGCTTTGTCCACATTATTATTCATTAGTCCCTATCTGTTCTTAATTATGAAGTACAAAGCTTCTTGTCATTCTTTAAAGTTATTTTTTAAATTGAATTATCCCACAACCCTCATCCTTTTCTTGCAAATGTAAAAAACTTTGATGAGAAAATTATCCCTTTTTGATCCTTCAAAGAGAAATCTTTAAAGCTCTGAGGTACTTCACACTCCTAATCACACTCTGAAAAATTAAAAGGTAACCAATTTGACTGGAGCTCACTTTATTACAAACCACAGTCATCACATTGGCAAAGATGATGAAAAAAATCAGTAGATTTTCACATGGCACCGTGAGGGCCTAATTTAGGTGATGGAAACTTTGTAAAAATCTCTTTGTGCTGTTAAAATTAAGAGCAGACGTGAATTATTACAATTGCTCTGTATAACTTAATAGATGGAAACTTGGTAAGCTGCTGTAATTTGGTTGCTCTGAAGTTCTGTGGTCATACCACAAATTTCTTCATGCTTCATACCATGGATTTCTTCATGGCCCCACGTACAGCACAGCTTGCTGCAGCCCGCCTGAGAACTGGGACAAGTGTGCTAGCTAGGAGTTGGATCCACTATAATAAGATTATCCCAGAGCTATACAGACCTCAGCAAGCAGCTATTTTAAGCAGTGAATAACAGAGAACAAGAGCAAACAGCCACAAAATATGTCCAGCTGTCTCCATTTCTGGAATTCCAGGGTGGACAGTGTTGCTGTGGTGTGCTTACTGTCAGCCTCAGGTAGGACACATCCCTTTCTTCTCCCTTCACCCTCTGCTTTCTCTTCTTTTTGACAACTTTAATAGTTTAATGAATATTTTAGAGTATAAGCTTTAATCCTAAACTTGGCTTAGAAAACACAAACCATAAGCCTACTGGCAAGAGGCAGTGAGTTATTTCCAACATAATTGTTTCCACAGGATACCACCTGGTATGTATTTGCTCCACTTTAATAGTCTCCAGTGGTTTAATGTGATATACTCAAATCAAACCACTAAGCCAAAGTGCATACAACACTTAAAAAAAATATATTCAGAATAATGCACAGCACTTTTCCTATCTTTCAACAACTACTTGATTTCTTATTCAAGTGCTACCAACTCACCACTGGATATGTGCTAGTGCACTGCTCTTGGAGCGGACTCTCCTGGCTCTCTCAAGCACTTCATCAGCTGCATGTAGAGGAGATGAAACCTCTACCCCTTTCTTTTATCCTTGGGCATGACTTTCTCCTTCCACTATAGACATTGTCAAAGATGGGTTGAGAGGATTTGAGAAGAGAGTCTACAGTTTTCTATTCTTCATGTTGATAGTTGAGTGTGGTTTTGTTCTGTGAATGCATACCTTATGCCTTATGTTGGAGTGCCTTCATCATCAACCTAAAGCCAGAATCAGAATAAACATCTGCTTCCAGATACAAAAAGATCTTCTTCAAAAACTTTCACAAATAGTCCTACAAAGAAAACTAAGTTACTATTGCCTCTTTATTGAATAAATGTGGTTAACATCTTAAAAGAGTTTTCCATTAAAGTGACATTTTGTGACAAGAACTAGGACATAATCTTTAAGTCTGTCTGACTAACACTTGGAGATGGAGTACTTTCCTCTGCTATACTGGTGTACTGTTATTTATTTTTCTGTGATGGGATATTATGATCATATATATTATAAATCTTTCCTGAGGGAGATTTCAGTGACTCATAAGAGTTCATCTGGTCAAACTACTCATCTGCAGTCAACTAATACAAATATGAAGTGATTATTTTGAAGAGCAATAACAAGTAAGTTAAGTACTTTTTAAATGTATCGAGAAAGAAGATAAAAGTATTGTGAATTAGTTTAAGGGTTTTAACCAAAAATCAGTGAGAAGGCTTGGAATAAACTTCTACTTTCAGCATCTCTAATGTAGAGAAATTAAAAGCCATTGTTATAACGTCCTAAATTCTTTAGACTTGGATTTATTTTATGTACTGCTAATTGGATATCAGAGTTGGTCCCTACTGAATATTCTGGTAAAGGATTTCAAAATAACTGAAATAAATTGTCACAAAATTTTAGTGAAGTAACATTATTGTGTAGCTCTTTCCACTTCCCTTTCTCTCCTTTTCACCTTCCTTTTGGATCAGTGTATGTAAGAAAAAGATTACAGTATAGAAAGAGGTTTTAGTAAAATTAAAATATGTAGAACTTTATATCCTTCTCCTGTAACCTTCATATTGACTTGAAAGGGACAGAACAGACTCTTCACACCACAGTGCACTAGTTTGGGGCTTTAGTGAGCATCACAAGAGGTCACTTCTATGAATAGCATCAATAGGGGACATCAAAAGCCACAAGCATTTAAAACTGAATTTGGTGAAAAGATTTAAAAATTATTTAAGTTATTTTGATTTAATGACAATTTGACCAGACACAATGGTCAAGGTTTTTGGCTTTATAATCATGATCATCAGTGATATTTAGCACTGATACCAGTAGCAATTATTGCTCCTGTCTTCCCATTTGGACAGCCAGATCCTTTTAAAATGTAGCTTCCTTAGCTGATTTTTTTAAGCATTGTAATACTCTTGACTTGTGCAATAAAAGTGCAATAAGGAAGGAGCAGAAGAGGGTGCAGAGGTTTCCCCATGTGTCTGTCTATCCGAACCACCAGGGGGGACTAATTCCTCATCTATATCTTTACTGCAGCAAGTGTCTGAAAAAAACACCTATGCTTGAACCAGGTCTAGAAAGTCACTGAGTTCAGTAGAGAGGTTGTCTTCGTTTATATTAAGAGAGCTTTTATCTAAAATCTTATAAATTTGCAGTGCTCTTTCCAGTCTGTGCAGCAACGCCAGCACAAGTCTGGCCACAGAGGGACGCACGTTCAGCTGCGTAACCGTGTCTATCGGTAGGGTACGGTCAGTGCCGTCTCATGACTTCTTCAAACTGGCCTGTGACTTGTGCTAAATCTACTGGACTGACAGAAGACTCAGCAGAGAGCCTAACTCGGCTTCTTACTGCTTAAACTCACTCCATACCAGTGACCATGGCTTTGTGATTGAAAGGAATATTTTTTTGACTGTGCGTGCACAAGGCATCTCTTCTTTAGTGGCTGCTTAATCACTGCTTTGTGGCTGTCTCACTACTCCATTTCTTTTTTCCAACTATTACAGCCTTCCTGATTTATTTCAACTTCACTGCATATTTTACTATTTTTAAGCAAGATTTGGCCATCTTGAAACAAAACTGTGTTATTGCTATGATCACAAAGGGTTCAAATATTTTATAGTATCCTGTTAAACAACAACAAAAATCTGTGTGTGAAGTATGTACTCTGGAGATCTGTCAGGAAAGTTGTATAATTTTGAGTTTCTACTTAAAAGTGAATGCTAGAAGTTCCTTTAAATTTTGAACTCTGTCAGACCAGTGGGATTCTTCTTGTGGTCTATAGAAAGATTTGAAATACTGAGGAGAATTCTCTAGCCACGTTAATTTTTCAATTTTTTATTTTGTGAATTATTACATGTATGAACTCATTAGTTGGTGCTTTCAGGCACTTGTAATTGAATTCTCACCTTCCTTAACTAGTCTGGGAACTCTCCCCATCTTCTGGGCGCAATCAGTCATAGTTTTGTGCGTGTCATTATTCTGAAATTATCTTTTGTGTTACATGCTCAGGCTTCTGAAAACCAATTTCCTAATATTTTACTATTTTACCTTTTTAATATATAAAATATTACTCTGGTATACACAGAACTGTGAGAATAAAAGCTTTTAGACACTGTGATGGAAAGTAGAAAGAGAATGATTGATTAAGTTATATTTGTTGTAATTTTTATTGAGTTTCCTGCTTAACACGAACTCAAATACCTGTGTATTTTATATACTGCTTCTTTTTTTTAAAAAAAAACCTAGACAGTTCCTGATCTAAGAGTAACCTGCAGATATACATACAAATCAAAAAGGTAGCTCGTGAGAAATAATTTAATTTCTGTAAGTTGTTCTCCCATAAATTCAGTAGGTTTCTATATTTTACTATAGTGAGAAAGAAAATTTAATTGTTTCCTGTCAGTTAGATGGTGATTGTGCTCTCTTGATGAGGTATTAGCCTTTATTTGATCTGTTTCTGTAGCTGGGACTAGCAGTGTTGCCAGGTTTGTGCAGTAAGTGCTGACCCAGTTTGGTCAACATAATTGATATAACAGATACAGGCAAAATGTGTTATTCTTTGTGTAATGCACTAACAGACAGAAATAAGGGGGTGTATCTAAAGTGCTTTAAGAGTTTTTGTTTCAGTGTCTCAAACTTGAGTATCAAAATCTGCAACCTGGAACGTTTTCAGCATCCCAGGATAAAATCAGGTTGTAACCTATCTTCAGTTGTGACAGATAGATTCTGTGTTCTTATTTGAAACATCCCAATCAAAATTTGACTGCTTTTGTTAGTAATTGACTAATATTTGGGGTCCACCTCAATCCAGCCTTTGCATGGCTCTGTGCTCTTGGGCAAACCATACAGTACTGCTTCTCCAACAGAGACTGTGGGGAAGTCTGGGAGAAGGTCGCAAGGAGACTCTGGTAGGCAAATGTGGGAATTATCAGTTGTAATTTTATGGATTTTTAAGTTTTCTCTCCCTTAAAAAAATAACTGTGATAGATACAGCTTTGAAGGTGGTAGCTGTCATCATGCAGGACATCAGTGGTTCTACTCAATAGCATGTCAGATGGTTGTGTTCAGCTCCATTTGGAAATATTTCATCTAATTACACTCCTCCAAATTTCTAGTGTGTTCTTAAAGCACAGTGAGCTTTGTGAGAAATTATTATGAAAGCTTAATAAGAGTTATTGACTACATATTGGTAAAAGAGTGGTCTTGACTTTCATCAATTTTTCTTTAATAGGCACAGGAAACTCTGTGTTTGAATTTGTGCCTTTAAAAATGTTACACCTGATGACTCAACTATACTTGCCCTTTACATACTTCTGGTAATCGTGTTTTTATTTCCGTTCCTCTTTTCACACAATTTTCTCTTTCACTTTTCACCCGTGGCTTGAGCTATGTTGTCTGGGGAAAATATAGCAACAAAAGCAGAAATTCTTTTTCTTCACAAAATTTATTGTGATGATAACTGATGGTGCTGCAGTAGGATTAATTAAGATTGCAGAGAATTTGAAAAAATAACTGAACTTTCCCTGAAGACATGTGACTGAGGATGACTGTGCTGAATTTTGTTCCTCTTTCCTCAAAACAGAATTTTATTCTGTTAGATACTGAGCAAAAAAAAGTGATTATGTTTGGACTTATTTTTTTCACTTTATTCACCTCTGGAGTCGGTGAATTTCTTTGTATGTCATCAGATCTTGAAATGTCGTATACTTTTTGTGGTAAGTAAAATATAGCTAATTCTTTTTCTAAGTTTGCATGATGATTACTGTAGACTGAGGAAATGCAAATTTTCTTTCAAATTTCTTTCTTTGATGAATGCAAAAAAATACAAAAAAGTTCAGCTGAAGTCTATTTCTGTTGTTAATTACCATATAACAGGAATTATACTTCATAGGCATAAATATTACCACAATGCTGGTTCTAGCAGCTAAGACAGAGAATTTTATCCTCAAGTAAAGCAGGCATATTTTGGTTCAGGAAATATTAGAAGATAATGAACCTAAACTTATTTTGCAATTACTCTATTGTATAAATTATGCAAATTGAGTTAACAAATATATTACAATTAAAAGGTTAAAGTATATGTAAAAGAAGAGGGAATGTGATATTCTGCTTTGCTGGGGTATCAGGTTTTGGGACAGCATAGTGTGTACCTTCTTGCCATGTCTGTGTCATGGGCTGATATTTTGCATATTCTAAAAATGCTAGGTGATCACTCATAGAGCAAATATACTGGTACATTCAAAACATTTTTAGCTGTTATCAGCAGGTTTATATAGGTTCCATGGTTAGCATAAGTTGGGATATTTTCAGCAGAGGACCATGCTGGCTTAATGCTACTGGAGTTTTTGTGTACCTTCAAAAGATAAAAAAAGGCACTTTTGCCTGGGTTTTGTGTGCAAAATATCATCAACCAAAAAATTGAGTTTTCTTGTCACTTAAAGAGATACTATTTTGATTTTGCCCTCTAAGCATATAAATAATTAATAATAAAATTTAAAATACATGTTTAGTATTTACTACAAATATTAGACAATTTTATATATTATCTAATATTTTTAATATTATCCAAGACATACATATTGTATATACCTTATATTAAATGCATTTTAAAATGTGTGTTTGTTGTGAGTGGGTAAATGCATATATTTTTATAATTTTCATGGAGAAGCCTATTCACACTATCAATTTGAAATATTGTTTTCCTATAGATTCTACAACTGATGCTTTCGTGTTTAATTTGACACCTTGCAGCATCATGAAAACAGACATCTGGAAGGCTACTCTTAACTGGATTCCAAGTGAGTCTCTCTTAACTAGACAATTATAATCTGGAAATGCAGAAAATCAAGTACAAGTGGAAAGCTGGCTCTTCATCCAAAATGCCAGATGATTTAGGAAATCAGTTTCTGTGACTGAAAATAGAATGGATAAACTTGGATAATGATGGACAGAAATTATGATCTATGAAAATAAGTGTATTTGAGTTTTACTTGTTGGAGGAGTTACTCCCTGCACGGAGTCTGGCACTGTATGTGCAAATCTGAGATGGTTTATGTCTATATGCATTTGTCTGGGAAAGCAGGCAAGGTTTGCCACACACAAGCTCTTCTGGCCTGAAGAAGTCCCAAGTCTTTTTAAGGAGAGAGAATATCATTAGGCCATCCAAGTATGGCAGAACTTCTGTGAAGAATATGTGTGTTCCAGAGGCTGAAAATGGTACTAGATTGTGTGTTTGAACCCAACTGTAATCTTTAAACCCAGCTTTAAGCTGGCAAGCTGAGTTAATGAAATGTTTATGAAATGACTGTATCAAAAACTTCACCTTCTGAATATAAACTCTGGAGGTGGACTAGGTTTTCTTCCCTAGAAAGATACCTTTATGATGGCTATCAGCATTCAGGACATGCAACATGTGCCTAAAAGTAAAGCCTTCATCTGAGCATGTGTTTAAGTTAGCTGTGCTGTTATCTTTGCTGAAGAAATTAAAACAGATTTTTAAATTAGTCACTCAAATATTTTTTAGATTATTTTTTTTTTTTTAGAAAATTATCTCTTTTTTTTTTTTTCCCTGAATGTAACAGTTTTCAAGATACATATTTTTGCCAGTTTTGGGGGGAGTCTTTAAAAAATATGGTATTTCAGAGAAAACTATTTTTTATCCAAGTGGTCTGTCTGCATATGTGTTTTTTCTCCCTGCCAGATATCATGTCCTTACTTGCAATGTTTTAATTAGGAAGTGACATCACCTTTTTGAAGATTGTCTTCCATGTCTGGTACGACGGTGAAAAAGTGTTTCACTGGAAGCACCTCCTGTGCAGTGGAACTGACAATGAATACTCAGTGTGTGAAATGCTGAAAGGAGGTCAGTGTGCCATCAACCCATGCAAACAGATTTTTCTCTCCACAATCTAGGCCTTGCTTGGCAGGCAGCAGACTTCAGAGCAGCCAGTTCTCCAGTGCCAAAACCCCATTAAAAGAGAGAATGTCCAAAATCTATGTTTTAACATCCTTGTACTGCAGTTTCCATTCCATAAATGATAATTACTAATATCCTTCATCTCAGTATGACACTTATTATTAACATTTATAAAATGACATGAAAAGGCGACATTTGACTGGACTGTACAGAAAACTTGAGAGGGACTATCGGCACTATAATACCCAGAACACAGTTTATTTAGGGTTTTTTAAGAAATTCTCTCCACTGAGGTATAATGCTTTTTTTAATAGAGAAGAGTCAATCCTCTGGTTGGGGCTACCCAGCATAAACGTGACACAGGCTCAGATCCAGAGAATTCAGGCAGGATGTCAGACTTGAGGCCAAAAAGGACCTGTGAGGAGGTCAAAATATGCAGTCTATGTTTTTCTTTCTTTAAAAATCTGTATCAGTTCTCTTCAGAGTTAACACAGTAAGATGTGTTTGGAGGAGATGTTGGAGGAGCACTGTGGTTAATTTCTATTTTCTAACGTTATTTTGACAAATAGTCAGAGCTCTGAGAGAAGAACCAGGTGAGTGCTTTGTCAGTGGAAGAGTAAATGACATTGGCAACTGCTGCTGAGAGATATACCATATTGCTTTGAAGTTATTTAGGCAGTCTGATTGATGACTTTATGGTTAAGTAACCATTTGTATTATAATTATCTCTGTTTTACAGAAACACTTGTAGAAGAATTTGACATTAAAGGTTTAAGAACACAATTTCTAAAGGTACTTTCTGACATTTTATATAAAGAAATAATAATAGTAAAATTACATACTTACAGGTGTATATTTTCTGAAAAGACACATTCACCCAAACTGTAGAAACCAGAAGAGGAAATGTCAGAACACTTTCTCATGTTTGAAGTGATGAGTCTAAAATGGTAGCATCCTTGAAATGCTTGATGTCCTCAGGTTATTATTTCTCTATTATTCCTCCCTTATTTTATAGAATAAAAGACCAAAGAAATCAGTTATTGTCACCTTAGAAATCAGTTAATGTCACCTTAATAATTCCATTTTAATTGGTAAATTTTGTTTCCTTTTACCTGTTTGAGTAAATCCATTCATATTTTTTCTGCCCATTTTGTTCTTTATTTTACATTCTCTTCACATGCTGGTCTGTTCTCCCTGAAACCATTTTTGAAGATTTGAAAAGGGATAACAATATCCAAAAGTAAAAGCAGTACTCCAGTGTTAAACCAAGAGCAGCATCAGTCATCAGGTTGACCCAGTCTCTTACAACACCTACCCCATCAGCTGCCTGAGCCTTTCCAAACCCTTATCGTCCCTATTAATCCCAACAAATGTCACTAAGGAGCTCCTACTGATACAAAATCTCCAGCCTCCCCTTATCCCAGAGCCCATGGGCCTCTAACAGTGTTGGACTCCATCCAGCCCAACACCTCTTGTAACCCCAGAGCTGGTAGTGGAGAGGAACATCCCCTGCCATGAGCAGTCCTCCAGTAGATGAAGTGCTTATGGCAGACCTGACACTTCCCCACAGGACTCTGCTAGACCAGAGACTGCTGTTCCTGTGTACTCTGGTCATGAAAAGAAAGTTGAGAACTATTTTTTTCATATATCTGACTATACTAGTCCATGATGGGAATGTCTTTTTCAGTCCTAACAGAAATCACCAGAACCATTCCAAGAAGCTACTTAGACAAGAGTGGGCAACATTATGCACTAATTTTCTTGGTTTTTTTCTTGCTTGCTTTAGGGCAATTATAATATTATTATACAAGGATTCTCTGATGATTCTGAGAATAATATGGTCATATGCTTGAATTTCACCATGATAGTAAAACAAGATGTTTACTGAGTGCGACAAACTTTTCAAATAATTCAAGAACACTGAGGTCACTTCTGCAAGCAACTGGAATCCAAGCTGTGAAGTAATAAGCAAACTAAATTTCCTGAGGTAGAATACATCTTGTGCTGTCTGGAAAGCTATATGATATATAATCTTACTTGTTTATAGAACTGCTGTAATCAGATGCTCAGCCAACATGCACAAAATCTCCAGGTATCAGGCATTCTGATTAATCCACAGAATAACCCTGACTGGATGGCAGGCTGAGGTCCGCATTTTGGTGCTGTGCCTTGAGTTATGATAAAGTCAAGTTCTTCAGACTGAGCTAAACTAATCAGGAAGTTTGGAAGTTTTGAAGTGCAAGAATCAGAAGTTCATCAGTACTCAATTTAAAACACAGTAGCTGAATTTTGGAACCCTGCCATAAGTTGTTGGTTTTTTTCCTTTTAGCAATAAAGCTTTTTTGTACAATCAATTTGAGAAATGTTTTTTATTCTCCTGTTTTCTGATTAACTTTGGATGTTTCCTAATGTTCTGCTCTTTTTATACCAAGCTAAAACAGAGGAGTAACAATTTGTTATGTGGTTCTGGCTGATGTGAATAACATCCAAAGTGGAACGTTTCGAGTTACACTGATACACTACAGCTGAGTTTAGCCCTGAACTGCAACCTCATAGAATGTTTTTAGCTCTTGCTCAGAGTCCAAGGGGCAGAGGCTATATGAGCTGTTTCCTTCAGACGCGGGAGGATGGTGTCACCCAACAGGTTGATCTGTTCCTCATTTATTCCTCAAAAGCATGTCTAAAGCTTTTGCTGTGGCTTTTGCCCCTTGGGAAGCCCAACACTGGGTATCCACCTGCCCTCTCTGCTACACCTCCACACCCAAGACCTTGGGTAAGACTTTGGTGGAGTATGAGATTTGGTTCTCAGGAAGAATGCTGTCCTCTTCATCCTCAGCCCCCAGCCAGTGGTTGCTTAGTGGGTTCAGAGACTTTTCCCCAACTGATAGGACATTGTTGAAGTTGCACTTCGTGCTGGCTGCTAGTTCATGCTGTGTGTAGCAGATTGCTTCCAAGTACCTGAAAAAAATTAAAACCCAGAACAAACCAATACTCTTTCAGTCCACTAAATATCAAGCATAAAAATTAGCAGAAGTGAAGCTTTTAATCTCACTTTACACATAAGGAAAGATGTTTTTCAAATTCGGTATGAGAAAACTCAATTAAAAAAACCCACATCCAAGTATGCAGATACTCCATTTAAAACTTGGTTTTGGTATAGTTAGTTTGGCTAAATAAAGCAAAATCATCAAGAGTCTATAAAAATAAAAGTAGAATTTCATCTTGACTGGAGACAAGAAGCTGTTATTACATCCAAGTGGTGATGGCAAAGCATCTGTTCTTGCCTTCAGTCCACAGATCTTTGGAGGAGTAGTCCATGATGGAGTGCTGTAGCAGCTTCTGCTTACATTTGAGCTAATTTACTAGAGTTGTGATAAATTTTTTCTTAATCTGAAATATCAATCAAAAAGCAGCCAGAGAGCATGATAAGCAATACCTACTTTTCTTCTTTTTGAAATAGTATTACTGGTTAGGAAACAATCTTACCTTATGATGTCCCTTTGTACACATCTCACATCATTCAGCGACCACCGGGTGAAGTCTCAAAACCATTTTTAATGACAAAGTAATCTGAAATTTTTGCTGGCCTGAATTATTCAGGATATTAGAAGAAATGTTTTGTTTATTAAGTAGCAAAGTACCACAGGTGGGAGAGACTAACAGCTCCTGAAGATCAAAGACATCACATACTCTTACAGATATTACAGAAAATTTACAGTATATGTAAAAGTATTAATAGAACTTTTGTCTCTAAATAGAGACATTTACAGATAAACATTAAGTACTCAGTATCTTTCATAGCAGACTTTTATAGTGTAGATCTTCAGCTGAAGGATTATGATTGCACATGCCAGCAGATAGGTTTGCAAGGCAAAGCACAGGAGCCACACTTTATAAAGCAAAGACCTTTCAAAAGTCCCAAGGTTTCTCCTGTGTACAATCAAAGTATCTGCTTATTGCAGCGCTGGTGGCTGCTGCACCACATTCCTCCGTGGATAAGAGGAGGCAGATTTTGGAAGATGTGAGACCACCCAAACAGCTTACCCTAAAATCACCGTGATATTGTAAGGGTGAAGGGCAGAGCTGAAGGCAGAACTTTTCTCTGCATGTCAGGTTTCCAGGACAGAGCTGTGAGAAGGCTTTCCTTCCTCCCTTCTGCTGTTGTCCAGAGTTGACAACGGTTATCACTTTATGTTCCTCTCCAAACTTTCCTGAGCCCATATTCAGGGCTTTACAGCAGAGAGGACTCTATTTAGGATGACATTAATTACTCAGACCCTGTAAAGACTAATCTGAATGTTTCCCTTTTCTTCACTTTATTGGCTAGTAAACTTTGATTCATTTTACCTTCTTATTTTTTTCTGCCTCTGTCCAGAGTTGGAATAATGTGAATGCTGTGAAGTAAAACACTGAGTATTTCTTTCTTAAAATATTCAATGAGACCTACGTGCCTTGAGATTTCTGTGCTTTGCCAGGAGTTCCAGGGAGCAGTACAAAGACCCTCCCATGCAAACTGAAGTAAATCAAAGAAGGCCTTATATTTGACATACTTGTCTGAAACTAATATCTAAAGCCTTCACAAATATCTCTTTTTTTGTCTCCCTCATTACTGTTGTTTTTAAGCAGCTGTCAGGATTTGCTGCAGATGGGAAAATAGCTTTTCTTCACCCCCTCACCCTCTGTCGCCAAATATGTAATTATCAGAAGAAGCAGTTCCTGTACAATGTGGTTTCCAATAAGAATGCACACTTTTTGAGCTGTTATTACAGTTTCATTTGATAAAAGCAGTAAAGCATACATAATTTCAGATCAGAGAAGTCCTGCCGACCGCAATAATGTGTACATTTGATGGTTGAAATTGTAACATCATTTGAGATTGATACAGAAAGAAAATTCAATGTAATTCAGGTATTACAACAGCATATTTTGTGTTCAGGGATGTACTTGAAGGCATAAGCAATCCTTCACTCACCAGTCAACTTGGCTAGCAAAAAGCACACATACTCCTACAAATAAACTATGTGGTGCCTGCAGCAAGAAGAAGTTGGACTTGATGATGCAGGACATGTGTCCTGATCTGCATTACAGGCATCAAAAGAGAAACACAGCAGCATTAATCCCTTTTGCATGATTTTGTTCTTGGGCAAAAATGCTAGCAATTGCCTTGGAAGGGTCTATGTAGCATATTATGCTGAATGACTTCAGCTGCTTCATTCTGCCTGCGTGTCCTTGCCAGCACAAGTGAGTTCAGGGGCAGCAGATGGGGTAGTGACATTTCTAATGGAAGAGATTGAGAGGGAGGGAAGGAAAGGAGAGAGATTCCTGCCTGCAAGATCTTAGGGGAGAGAGGAGAGGAAAAAGGAAATTTGGAAAGTCTTATTGCTGGCAATAGAAATTACTGGACTTTGGAAATCCCGGATAATAGTCAGTGTGCACATGTACTTGTCCTGTGGATCCCAGGCATCCTTGTAGATTCCTTGGTGCATGGCTGCTGTAGACGTATATGTTCATAACCTCTTTTCTTCAAGATGTATTTTACTACTGGCAAAGAGAGAACTTTTAAGTATGTATATAAAATATATATATTTAATATATATACATATATATATATATATGTGCATACATGTATTTGGCCAGGTAGTTTATACAGCTTCCCAAACTTTCTGTCTGGAAAAAAAAAAACAAAACAACAAACCCACAATTTTTTTTCTTTGGGCTTTAGCCTAAACAGCTACCTTAGCTACAAGTGTTGTGTTTTTAAATTTAAGTTTCTTGCTAACTGACCATAACTAAGTAAGCAAAACTTTTAATAGCAAGCTTGGCTCTTTGCTCACAGTAGGGAATGGTCACTCATTCTATGTATTAAGGTTCCTGTGTGCCCATTTCCCTGTGCTGCACAAAACCTTTGAGTACTGCAGAGTAGATGATATTTTTTTCTTAACTTTTGACTTCTGCTAACTAAGTACATCCGCTGTGTGTTTTGTTCTCTGAGAGGTTTGGCATCTCTCCTGAAGAAGTACCTCCATACTGATTATGAAGTTGGTTTAGTTCTTATATACATTCTGTTCAGCCAATTTCATTTAGATTTTGCACTGTATTACCCATAATTTTTGTATTTTTAATATAGCAATGTAGTTTAACAACTTCAGTAATGCAAATTAAGATAAAAACCAACAATCACACAAGCCTTACAATAAGTAAGGATAAATACATAAAAGCAAAATTTTAGCATTAGTCCTCTGAAAGCAAAAGAATTAAAAAGTCTGCCCTTCACTTCTGAGATGCATAAAGGGAAAAATAATAGAACAAAACATAGTGCATATGAGAGTGAACTGTTGTTCACTTTGACTTCAAATTAATTTGACCCTGTTTTAGAATGACGTGGCTTTATTTCACATCTGAAAATCAGCTGAACAGACTGGTAGTTATCTTTTCTAATCATATATCACATTGAAGCAACCTGCTCTATGTCAGTACATATTGCATGGAGTGGAATTTTCCTTATATCTTTAAAGTAGTAAAGATACTTAAAAGCACAGACATAATGTAGATAGAATAAGGAACATCATTAATGAAAGTTTCACAGATGACTGCCAGAAAAATAGACCGTCAGCAGCAGTATTCCTTTCTGATTCCCTAAGCTACCTTCCAGTGACTCTGACTGCTAGTTATACAGCTTTTCCAACCTGTAAAAGTTTTGATGATTTTAATATTCTAATAAAGGAGGAAAGGGTATCCTAAAGAAAATCTAAAGTAATATCTTATCTAGAAAAATCAAAAATATTCAAATAAAGAAACAAGTCTTGTCAGGTGAGTAATAAGGACAAAAAAAGTGGTTGTGGGAAATAAATAATTTTGATAGCTGCAGAGTGTTGTGTATTTATTTTGACTAAATAACTTAAAAATAGTAGGCTTGAATTCATTTAAATTTGAGACACTTTAGCAAATAAGAAATATTTTTCTGCTTTTTTGTTTTTGACAAATAGGCATTTTTCGAGCAAAGACCATTGTGTCACAAAATCACTGTGATTTTACTGATAAACCAGGAGTCAAACTGTGGTAGTTGTACTCATATTAGTATCTATTTGACTATCTGAGTTGTCCTTTTGGATAGAGATGTGTTCTAAATGACTTAAATGCCTTTTTCTGGAGTTTATATGTAAAGGGCAACATTACAACTTTGCAAACAGTACAACAGGGAGTAAGTTGTTGGGAGAAGCAGATCAAACCACATGTTGTAACTTTGTAAATTATAATTTTCTTTTGGTACTTCTGGTTTTATAAAAGGTAAATGCTATAACAAACAGAACAAATAAACAGACTTATATACCTCCTCCCTATGCA